AGGCTGGTCTGACAGTGAGATAAGCGGGCTTTAGAAAAATTGGTAACTATCCGGTTAAGCAAGTTCTCGTGCGCCTCAGGCTCCTGAGAGTATGTTTTCCTGTATTCAGGTCAGTTTTAAGACAGTTATCCTGTGTTAGTGCTTGAAGGACGATCAAACAAGTTTTCCCGCCTAAATGTCTCTTTAATATGGAGAAAGTCGCTTTCAACTCAAGACCAATCAGAAGGAGGGAAAATGAATCACTACAATTTCCGAATCGTTGGAAGCTAGCCAACTTGTGTCACCTCTGCTTAGTCACTAAACCAAAGAAAAGAGAGAGACCGGGGACTTTTTGAAATAAAAACCAAGATGGCGGTTCTACCTAGTAGGTGAAATTGGTGAATGACGTCAATAACATTATATGACGTCACTATCGCCCTCAACGCTAAAATCCTGCAGTGAATAGTTGCAGGGAATATCTATAGACGATTTTAAAAAGCTCAACGTAGAACAGAGCGGGGTTATATCGGTGTCGTGCTTATGTCTTGCAAAGTTAACTTACACGTGTAAGATCAGCCTCAAAGATTTATTTTCAATGTGTCTACTTTTTTTTTTGCTGATAAGTTCTTCTTTAGATCCTATTCGTTTGCGGTCCTTTGCCTGTTTCAGGCTTTAAAAGAGCTAAAATGGAACGTTTCACGACAAGAAATTTCAACTACAATATTTTATAGAAAGGCTTTAAATCTTTAGCCAGCTGATACACCTTAGGGGTGAGTCATTTGAAAGGCATCATCGTGCGAAACAAATGGTTCCCTTTGAGAATGCCTTAACTGTCTGTTACCTGAGAAACTTTAACCTTTAAATCCAATTATCAACGTGCATCATGATTTTCCATAGTGTTTTCCATATATTACCTTTTAATTGAAGAACAGGCCCGAGTTGTTCACTGAAAAGGTGGATAGCGCTATCCATCGGATAAATCCGCTGGATAGTGATTTATGCGGTGGATAGCGCTATCCAACGTTTGAACAACCGGGGGCCTGAACTTTTACGTTTGATTAAGTAGTTTTTTTAGGGAAAATTATATCAGGATCACTCAATTTGATTCAGTAAGCTAAGTGATCGTAACCTTCTAGTACATTGAACACGTAACATCAATAAAAAGGGTGGCCAGGAGCTCTGGAGTGGCAAAGAATTATTCTTACTAGTTCTTCTTTCTGAGTTAAATAATGAATACCGGAATGGAAAAGAAAACATGCAACAGGTATCTCTCTACACCACGTGCGACATGCAAACCTGCCATTCGAATTAAAAATTGTATTAGATAATTTGCGCACTTACTAATTGCATTTTCTTGGAGTGACTAAAAACAAAAATATTAGTTAGAGACAAAACTCACTATTACCGATAAATTTGGGCGCGATCGTGTTAGATTCTAAACCTCTTAGCTATTGGCTTTACTCATTGTCAATTACGTCTTCATTAATGCTATTGTGCTCTTATCTCTTCTGACTAAAGATAAATATTTTCGTCAGATATCCAATAATCCTTGCGAACCCTTTTGGTACAAGAAGGAGGTACTTGAAAGTGTTGCAAAACAACAAACGATTTTGGATATTGAGAAGAAGCTATTCCATCGTTATATATGTTCATTTTGTTACCTGACTTAGTCACTGTTTTCGAAGACCTTCCAGTCCTTCTAAATAAGACCCCTCAAGACTGCTCCGTGAGAAAATTTACCTTGAACAGAGTTTTCTGTCTATATTTTTGCAATCGCACCAATTTAAACTAATTGTTTAAATAAATCGATTCTATTTCCGCACCTGGGGTGGATTTTGTGTTAAGGGATATATTCAAGGCGATGATTCAGTGTATTTTATGGCATAAGACAGTACGAGAGGTGTAATGAACTGAGGTACTCATCCAAAAAAAATAGAAGCTCAGCAGTTCGGCGTCTGAAATCCTTATGTTTTCCTTTTTTTTTAAAAAAAAAAATTGCTTTTAAGGACATGCGAAGGAAATATTGGAGATATTTTCATATCACATATCAGATTACTTAAAAGTGTTTAGTGTTAGACGCCCTTATAAGTACTTTGGAAGACCATTTACAGTCTTACGCTTTTGGTTTATTTGATTGATTCCGCCATTGAACAGTTTTTCCCCTTTATACTGCGGTTTACTGATTTGTCCAATTTAATAGTTGTGGGGTTATTTAAATGCAATAGATTTATCCTAACAACTATTTAGGGTTGATCCTGTTCTTTATCACTACATTTTCCGTTTAAAATTGCCTCTACAGTGGAGATGAAAAAAAAAAATCACTCAGGTTGGAAGTTATGTAACAATTAGTGTTTTCAGTACTTTTCGCCAAGTCAAACATAAAATTAAACGTGGATGACTCGATGAGCAATTGTGAAAGCTATTCGAACCTCTAAACCCTTATAGTAGTTTGAATGCACACTAATATCATCCTTTTTCACACTAGAAATTTTTATAAATACCTTTCAAATCACCTCTTTTAGTATCGGTAATTTCGTTTTAGTAGAATGATATTTCTACTGATCACAAGGTGCTTAGCTAAACAAATCGGTCAATATCGCGAAATATGAACCGCTTGTCTCTTATAAGGGCCGTGATACGCGTTTTATGTACTTACAGTAGTAACAGCAGTACGCTTGGAAGCAACCCCCGAACAATCATCTCCAACAGTAGACGGTTAAGACCGTCTCTTGTCGCTGCTAAGCCACAACAACAAAGGTCATTAACAAATTCTTTCTTCCTGCCTCCTTCCAGTTAAATTATTAAATTCATTGCTTTGGAAAACATTCATGGTAAAGTTAGCGGATTTGTCATAATTTCAGCCAAGTTTGGCATCGTGCTGGGTCTTCATTGTCCAAAAGGGTTTAATAAACAAAACTTCGGTGATCGTTATATTCATTGCAGTCTTTTACAATTGCAACCTCGCGAAATAAAAAAGCCAAATCATTCACGTAGACAGAAACGGGCGCAAAAAAGTCAAGGATTAAATACTAGTAACAGTATCATTTGTACAAAATGAACAGGCGGACAGAGGAAAGAGAGAAATTTGTTTTTAACCTGCTTATCTTGCTGTGCTGTTTATGCACGGGAAAGTGACGAAGAAAAAGCAATAGAGCTTTGCTTCCAGAGTCAGTTGATATATTAAGTTCGAGTTCTCAGTTTAAAACAAAGACTGTTCACTCTTATTTTTGACCATTTTTTGCATGGCATTCCTAAAGCTACCAGGGCAAAAGGCTTTGCAGACGTATTTAGAGAATCAATGACGAGAGAACTTGATTTCACCCTTGCTACGTTCAAAGAAAGTTAAACCAAAATCTATTTAACTCATGGACTCTTATCTCCATTCAGTCGAACTGAACGATATTTCATGGAAAGGATTTTTAAGGCAGCGTAATCTTGTTTCCAGGTCCTTGTACTCCTCACATGACATGCAAAACAGCCCGTAGTTTTGAGCAGGTTAAGAACGCGCCAGCGGTCAACTGAAAATCGACCTGGAGCGAGTGTAAAAATGGATCTGAGTTCAGCAGATTGCAAGAGAGCTAATTAAAAGACTAAACCAATTTAACCACTGAATCACACGTACCAACTCCGCGGTATGGCTAGTACCACAACTATATCACCCCAGTAGTGGCAGCCATGGAAAGCTGTTTGGTCCTCATTAAGAATCATCAGCATGGCATAGGCCCGGGCGAGAGGTCTCACTTGCGATCATCGACCCCGCTGGTTACTACCCAGGTGAGTCCAAAGGACTCCTTTAGGCGCCAGGTCCACCGCAGACACCATAGCTGTCCATGGGTGCCACTACCGGGGTGATATGGTTGTGCGCATGCGTAAGGTACTGGCTATACCGCGGAGTTTAAACGGCGGAGATGGTACGTGTGCTTCAGTGCTTACATTGGTATTTATTAAAAGACTGCCAATCTAGATCTTTGAAAAATATATCTCAATTTGTTCACATCCTTTCTGTTCTTTCAACTCAAGATAAGAATTCGAAAAACCGCGAGTGCAATAGTCGGCAGGCAAGTAACTAAGAAAACGTTTTATATTTTGGTTTCTAAGCCAGAAGAGCGGAGGTTGGGGAGAGTAGAAAAGTAAATGCGCGCGTGCGCGTGCCCGTGGAACGATGAGATTGAAGGTTAAGGAGACGCAGTTCCCTCCTTCGTTTTCCAGTTCCCATCGTCCTATACGTGATCAGTTCTGTTTTTATTATTCCCTGCGGAGAGGAGAGCTTCCCTTTATCGAAAATGCGACAAGAGCTGCGAGAATGTTGCTCACCACTCAGATCGCCCCATGCAAGGGAATCCAAGAGAGTCTTGGATTCTGGATTCCTCGCAGTGGATTCAGGATTTCTTGAGTTGTATTCCGGATTTTAAACCCAACAATTCCGGATTCCACAACTTTAACGACGACTTAAGCAATGTGTGTGTGTAGCTTTTTTTCGGCCAGCCCAGGGCGGTAACATTCCGATACTGCTGTGTATTTCTGTCTTTAAGCAGTTGCTTTGTTCATGGGGTTGAAATGCACAAAAAATGGTGACAGCAAAGTAACCCGTATTTTCCTAAAGTAAGGATTAAGCTAAAAGTCATGCAAATACGTATCAAACACATATAAGGGGCTCATCTGAATATTCGACAGACACAAAGTAGATAACTTTAAAGATTAAAAATTAATTATTCATCACAACTTTTCACAATAACTGCTAATTGCGGTCGACAATAAAAGTTTATCTTACGCAAACCCGCAAAATCGGCAGGCATCCAGGCACGTGATCAAATTGCGCAACACCATTGGTCCACGACAGTAATTCCGTCCCAGAGTGCCTCACGTGTTTTTATTTGCAAATTCCAATCAGCCGCCATTTTAGTCCTGTGATTGAGCAACGGAGAAGGTTTGGCTTATTTTGAACTTGAAGTTTTACAAGTCACTTGTGTCACTTTTGCAGGGTTCGATTGCTGTTTGTTCCGATTTTTTTCATACAGAATATGACCAGTGTCGCAGCCTTGGCTGGGATACCCGCATCCACTGGAATTAAGGTAGTACAGCGCGCGCGACGCCACGTACATGTGCTGTGAGGTGAATAGGCTGCGAAAACGGCAACGCGATTTTAAACACTTCCGCCTGTACTTTCGTGGGCGATTGTTATCGGTTTTTAAGGGCTTAAGTCTTTTATTTAGGGAAATAAAAGTAGAAGGATTGTTAGTCATTACAGGAAAAGGAACAATTTGTGCTAAGGCAGGCTGAAGTTAGAGTACGATTTTCGATCGACTTGTGGTTTACTGAAATCGCTTTCGGTTGACTTTGGAATAGCTTAGTAACTTTTCTCTTTATTTCGGTTTCTTGGAAAATATCCAAATATGTAGATATATTTTAAAAGAAACAAACTGATCAAAGCTTCTACTTGTAGAATTTAGGCGATCGGCTGGTGGCAAAGTTCCAAATTTGCATTGGTTGCGCAGTTGCGGTAATTTAAAATTTTCCGGAACCTTGTTTATTTCTCACCTCTAGTTTTAGAAAAGTCTCTTTTATTTACCATCTTTTTCGAATCCTGTATTTATCTCGTATCTTTCTGTTTTTAAGAATGTATTCATCCAGTGAGCTTGCGTTTAATTTTTGAGAAACAAGGCTTAAGTTTCTTGGAAGTAGAACTTATATTCTAATTCGTGTTTGCTAATTTATTACTGTTTACGTCTGCGTTAGGCTAAGTTAACCAAAACTTTCTGACATTTTTTTCCAAAATGTCGCATGAAAATCCTGCATGATCCTCGGAGATCGTGTTAACGCACGGCTCAGCTTATATCTGAGCAGTTTCCTTGGTTGACAAACCCATAGGAAAGAAACAAAGCTAACTGAAAAGCATTCTTTAGCTCTGGTAGTGTTTCTATGGCGCTCTCTCATCTTTATAAATGTTTAATTACATCCTTTAAGGTGTTTTTGTTTTGCTCAACAGCGGCGATATCACAAATGACTTTGTTTGAAAAAAAAATAGAGAATATGACTATTTCTCTCGTATCAAGTTTGTTTCCTTAGGTGAAGCACTTACCACGAACGACGTTTTCCCTATGCACAACTGGCTTTTATGCCTTCAAAAAAATTATTGAGCGTTCGAGTATATTTTAAGTTTTGGAACTATGCCCAAGGGATTTATTTTCTCACACCAAGAAAAGAGTAGTTGGTGAACAAAAACATTGCATTTAATACATAATATATACATTTTTATGTAACTTTGAGAAAAACACCAATGCTAGTCCATTTTGCAATGGCTTGCTTAACTAAGCACATAAACTATAAATACATTAATTACACATTTCAGAAGTTGGCTAAACTTGTTTCAATTTGTTTGTGTTTTGTTTCATAGCCACTGCTTTTTTATTCAGCTGAATTAAACTCAGCATCTGAAACCAAGTCATGTTACATTTAAACCCAAGCTTAGCACTTCATTACACCGAGTTTTTCTGCTGCTGCAAAAATAACCATAACTCTTGAATCAACATCATATTAATATTAGAGCTAGATGAGCTCCATGAAGGTTCATTATCATGAATGATATTGCGACATGACAAATATTAGAATAATTTGACATTATTGGAGTTGCTGAGAGCATCTGAAACAACAAGACAAAATCTGCTTTGTTGCAAAACATCAGTGAGTTATTGCAGATTTGTGGCAAGATGTCAACCCTGTTTTACTGTAATGACTTCTAACAAATCCTTGACTTGGATCAAACATCATGATCCAAGTCAAATTTTGAAGATTTGTATGGAAACATCAGAGTGTGCTAATGAGTCATTCATGCAAATACTTCAAAAATGCTGATTCTTGGCAAGGAAGCACTTTTTGTTTTGCTCTTTCTGAATACCTCAGTAGATCCCATAATTTCTCAAAATGAGCTTCTGCGATGTGATCACTTTTAAAATCCACACCAAGCTCATAAGCTTTGAAGTGAGCTGAGACAGAGTAAGTGTAGTACACTGTGATACTTTCAGTGGATGTACAGTAGCTGCCCATTGCCTAAAGTGTAGTGACAGTTACCCTGTGAGCAGAGACTACGTTTTTGCGGTCTGAGCTGTTGTGTGGAACTGGCATGTGGTAAGTACTTTTGCACGCCAGCTCATACTGCGAAAATGTAGCCTTTGCTTGCAGGGTAAGTGACAATATTCCTGTTAGTTTACGATAATAATTTATGGGGCATCTGCCCACTCTCCTACTCAACTCTGATTTTTAATTTTGACTGTTGCAGCGCACTGCTGAGGATTTACTTAATATGACAGGTAAGTAATCTTTTTTTTTTTTTTTAACAATAAATATTGTGGTCTTTTCTTCACAGACTTACATGTAGGGTCCTCTTGAATTAATCTGAAGACAACATCGTACTCAGTATAAGGTCCATCTAGTTAGCTTTCTCGGACAGAGAGAGCCATTCTAGGGTTCATCTGTCATCCTGTGTACAAAGCAGATGTCTGCCTCACAAGTCAAGTCTGACTTTTACAAGGTGTGCAAGTGTAAGCAGGGTTGTTGCTCCAGGACAGTGGCTCAGGATTTCCCGCAGCTACTATGAGGATGTTCCCTGGCTACTGACATAGAAAACTAAAGGAAGTTAGAGCCAAAAGAACCTTCTAGCTGTTCATACCTGTCTACTGATTACCTTTTTCTGGTAACTTAAAATCTTACTGACATAAAACCTCTCATGCAAAAAAAATTGGCTTGCCATATAAACTGCAACAGCCATTCTTTATCTTTTCAGACAGGCAGGCTCTTCTGTTTCAAAAGAATGTTTTTAAAAACAGCTTGAGCAATCTTTCCAAACATCTTAAGGGAGTTGAACATCTTGAGTGTTCATTTACAAAAGTTGTTTGAATGGCTTGATCAACCCCTTAAGGAAATCTCCAGTTGTTTTGTCGTATGCATACAAGTTTTAGATATGCAGGGCTGTCACTTAGATTACAAGTTAACAGATATATTCAATTAGTAGGCAGGGAAGGAACAGCAAGGCGTTTTTATTGGTTCTACACATGTTTTTTTTTTATGTTTCCCTATGAAAGCGTTGGAGTCATAATCATAGATGTGTGGTACTGTAGTTGGGGGAAATCCTTGACCCTTTATACCCTTAGTGGCATCCCTGAGCTGTTTGATTGACAAAAATTTGGTTGATAACTTTTGGCACATACTTGTTGTAAAAACCATGATTGATGGGAAACAAGAAAATCAAAGGAGTCAAAATAACAGAGCCTAGGAAATAATGGTGACATTCTGAGGTCTTAACGTTAAAGATGACAATAACTTTGGGTCCTGAACTTAAGCTTTACAAATAAGTGTCTCGTTTTTATTGAAGGGGGAAGGGATTATTTGAGGAAGCACTCACTCAGCTTATCAGTATTTCAGATGTTAAGTGTAATGTATACTGCTATAGCAAGAAACAGTGTGAAAGATCTCTTTAGAAACCATGAAGGCTTAAGAATGCCTTTAGACTTGTTCATTCAAGTTACAGCTTGCCAAAAGAACAAGGTGGATTTTATAGACCTAATTCTTTAATTGAGTTGTAAATTAATTAGCCTCAGGATGACGCTGTGCATGTTTGTATCGACAAGTTAATTTTAATACAACTGTGGTGTTTTAAGTCTCCAGGGCGCAACTCTTTAACCCTTTGTATGCGCTTATTTTAAGTAGGTCCCAGCCTAGGGAATCCCCATACAATCTTAGAAGGAATACCAACATTGTAACCAAACAAACCAACACCGACCGTTTTGCACAGTTTGTAACGTGCAAATATGCCACCTATTTAGATTCCTAAGTGCCTTACATACTTATTTTGTATTATTTATTACCTTAGATTCCCGTTATTTCTGACCCTACCTGTAATTCAGTTCTCACTGCAAAAGGTAGCAATAAACCAATTTATTTATAACTCAGTGGTCTTTAAAAAACAAATCAAAACAAATCGTTGATGATGTAACAATATTGGTCGACGGAGTGGTTTTAAAGGGCTACCATATATTTTATAATAATGTAGTTAGTGTTAAACATGTCCTGTTATTTAATCCGACTTTTTTCTTTCAGGACTAATGGGTGATCAAAAAAAGGTAGATCCAAATTTTATTTTATGTTATGCATAAAAATGCTGATATTGTTGTTGTGTTTCATGTGATAAGTACATGTTTAAGAAGACTGCAAAAAGGCATTTATTTTCAGTAACTTTACTTTTTAGGCAAGATTTGACCAAACTCCTTCTAAAGTGATTCATGTGAGAAATGTACCTATAGACGCTGTAGATACAGAGGTATGTGTTGAAAGACAAGAGTGTTGTTTTCTGCATCACTATAAATTAATAGCTGTAGCCTTTTTCTGTAGAGCTGAAAGATGTCTAGAAGGAAGGCCTGTGATTCATGAGCTGTCTATTGCAGAATACAAGTACATATGCCAAATGTGTACTTTTGTACAAGTGTTGTATGTAATGGTAAAATTCTGATAAGCGATATGGCCTTGAAATAGCGATATATGACAAATGAAATGGTGACAATAAATGACACAAAGAAGGGTTGAAACTGGGACAGGGAAAAGACAAGTGCAAAATCAAAAGCCTTGGTTAACGGAGATTAGCCCTTATTCAGACAAGGCTGAACAAAAGATTTAGAACTTGCATACAAAATTAATAGCACAGATCTGCCACTATGCAGGGACTGGATTTCTTATGGGCAGAGCTGTTTCTATAGCAAAAGAACTTTTTTCTGTACTGCGCATGAGCAGACCTTGGGTCATACAGTCTGTACATGTACCAAACCTCGGAAAAAAAATTGATGGCACATTGTGCGGTAAATGTTGATCAACTCTGTTTTGCCATTACAGTTAGTCGCCTTGGCTCTACCCTTTGGCCAGGTTAAAAATGTTCTCTTGTTGAAGTCCAAGAAGCTCAATGAAGCAACCCAAGTAAGTGTAACTTAAAACTTCAAAACTTAATTATAAGCTACAAAGAGTAATTATTGGTTTATGCAAAAGGCATTGTCTTGAAGGATGATTCTCCAGTGTACTTTAGCATCCAGCCTGTATGACATTTATCCATGTTTAAGTTTCCTAGATGATTTTTTTTTCTCACTTACCATTTTTGCAAACTCAGTGTGCAAAGAAAAACGTGTCCAATATCCTGGCCATGGGGCCAGTGGATTTTGCTATTAGGTTAGTGGATTCTGTTCATAGCTTGCCCCACAGGCAAGTGAAGTTATTTGGGAAATTCATATTACAGAAGAGCTAATCAATCCAGCTCATCCAAAAATATTATTGTTTGCGCAAGTACAGCCACCTGTTCTTGTCTATACTATAACCCCTGTACCTTGGCAGCAGCTCATTATAAATTATTACGAACACCTTCTTAGTATAGGTGTTGTATAACCACAATTTCATGACCCAGTAATGATCACATTGATGGTACTCCTGGCTGTAGATGTTGAAAGGTGGTTGGTTAGTTGGAGGCCAGTATGGAAATTTGGTTTCTTTTTGTCTTCCTGTCTTGCAGGGTTTCATTGAAATGGAGGATATACAAGCTTCAATGGCTGTTCTTAAATATTATACTCAAGTTGCTCCCTGCATAAGGTAAACTAGAGGCTATAGATGCCTAAACTAAACCGGGTGCCTTGTAGCAAATCTTAGATGATGCATGTATTTGAAAATTGTTGTTAAAGTTACATGTATGTTGAAATCTAGAAGCTCTGAAATGCAGTTTTCAAGCAATCTGGACATCAATGGAGTGTGATTTTTGACACTATTACTTGCAACACATTTATGTACTGTATAGGGGGTTACTGACAAAACCCATGGTATAATAGTACATGATGAATTTAAGTAGAAATAATAAATGTTATTGTGATGTTGTATTTTCTTTGTATTATGTTTTAGGGGGCAAGTAGTCTATTTACAGTTTTCCAATCACACAGAGTTAAAGACAGAACCCTCACAACATTCTGCAGGGGTAAGATCTTACACCTCTTCACTGTTCATTGTTGATTTGCTATTTGTTGCTTGTATGTTTCTCAATTCATACAGCCAATTATCTCTAAGAGGGACACCATTGGGGCCAGCCCAGACACTCCATCTTAAAGAGGTGTCCAGCTTATAACGAGTTGAGGAAATGTGACACTAGTAATTATAATAAAATAAAACTGAATCCAATTGCAATAAAGGAGGATGTCCGTTTTACTTGTGCAAAACAGTAAACCTTGAATATGAAACAGGAAAGTGGAATCATTTTGAATTCTCATTGTGCAATCAAATGTTCATTACAAGCAAACATTTATGGCTTCGTGGTCTAAAACTGTAACGGTACTTGTATACACTCTGCGAACTGGAACAAGACCACCAAATGATAAAAAAATTGCAACTACAGTTGTAATTGTCATTTAGAACACCTACATTTTTGTTTTGAGGTATTTTTTACTGCGTAAAGCACTTCTCAAATGTCGAGGGTTTCAAAAGTGTCTCTTGGCCATCTTATAGAGATTGTACTGTTCTTTTTAAACCTTGAAGTTTTTTATTTTTTATTTTAGGCATCTAAGATCATTGCTGCAGCTCAAGGAGACTTCAGCTCATCTCCATATTCAGCGGATGGACAGCAGGCTGCCGCTGCAGTTGCTGCTGCCGTCGCCAAAGGTGGGGCAAGGAGTAATGTCATCAGAGCAGTGATTGACAAGCTATGGTACCCTATTACAGTTGAAGTCCTTTACAAGGTATGTCTGAAATTCTGATTGCAGCAAGAGCTGTGACTGTTCGTTTTGCATTGTGATGGCCCACCATGTAAAATTAACTCGCAGCTGTATTCAGAAGAATTACAGTGTACAATGTACTCTTAATGTGATGCTATCATACTATGACAAACTGCACTAAGGTTTAAGAGGGTTGGAAGGTATGTAATGGCAAACACATAACACAACTCCCTGCCTGAAGGGTGGTATTAGTTATATCCAGACCTCAGTGGTTAAGAAAGGAAGAAATTTCTTTTCTTGTGTGTTTAGAGTTTTTCCCCATTATGTGAGACAAGTTGTTGCTCTGGCTGGAAGGTTATCATAGAGAACATTATGTCAATGTGATTTTGCTTTTTTCTCTTCCTTGGCAGATTTTCTCCAGTCTTGGGACAGTCCTCAGAATCGTCACCTTCACCAAAAATAGTAAGTGTTCTGGAAAAGTTCTGTGCACTAAATTTTGTTTCTATTGGGTTGAAACTACGCTGACACCCTATAGTCACACCACATGATTTTCTGTTACAAACTCTACAGTTTAGACTGGTAGTGAAGGAACTAACGAAAGGTTTGTGTTGACTTTCAGGTCAGTTCCAAGCCCTTATAGAATTCAACAGTGTAACTGAAGCAGAGATTGCAAAATTGGTACAAAGAATGTTGTTATTATGGCTTCCTTGTTTGACTCATTTTGAAGATAAATGTATTACTGTATAAGTACTACACTCTAACAGCATTTCTTTTCACTTTCCTCAGACACTAGNTGTTGACTTTCAGGTCAGTTCCAAGCCCTTATAGAATTCAACAGTGTAACTGAAGCAGAGATTGCAAAATTGGTACAAAGAATGTTGTTATTATGGCTTCCTTGTTTGACTCATTTTGAAGATAAATGTATTACTGTATAAGTACTACACTCTAACAGCATTTCTTTTCACTTTCCTCAGACACTAGATGGACAAAACATTTACAATAGTTGCTGTACCCTGCATCTTGAATACTCCAAGTTAACCACATTAACTGTGAAATTCAACAATGATAAGAGCAAGTGAGTGTACATTTGTTTGTCTCTAATCCTAATCCATTTGTCCCTGGAGATTTTGCCAAAAACCCTTGTAATGTCATTGAAGCCATTTTCTGGTCACTGTCTGGCCATTAAGAAATCAAACAATAAAATGTAGCTCACAAGTAAATTTTGTTTTGCTGTAAAAAAAAAAATTGGGGACTTCAACGGGATTCGAACCCATGGCCTTTGCGCTAACTCAGTTACAATCCATTTAATCGTCTTCAGTTTTGCCTATTTGTGATACCATCTTTCTTTTACAGAGATTACACACGACCTGATCTACCATCTGGTCCAAATGAAAGTCCTTTTGCTGGAGCCGACATTGCTGGATTAGCAGCCCTTGGTAAGCAGATGCTTTTTTTTTAGTTTTTGCAAAAATGTACATGCCAGTGCATACATCGTATTTTTAAGATTACATTATTAAACTTTTATTGTCATTAGTTTCTGTTCTTCAGCTATTGTAGCTACATGTGTTGTGTGCACAATGTTTATCGTGATGGTGAATATTAGGCATGGTAAATATACAGTATCACGCAAAATTAAGTGACCAGTATTGCTTTGTTTCTCGTGAAACTACAATCTCGTTGCAAGTGAATAAACAAAGAAACAAATGTTTTGGAATTAAGTTCAAGTAAAAATCTGTATAAGAACCTGGGACAGCATTTCAGATCATAGGTGAAATAATGCTCTTGCCTTGCTGTTGTGCTCGACTGCAAAACAGCCCAGATTTTTTCCTACATGTACAGTAGGTTTTGCATGCATGGGCTGTCAAAGGAAAGGTCAGGAGTGAGGGTGAAAACAGACAGTGAAACTCGGGAGAGACCCAAAAAATTAGAATTGTCTGGTTTTCTCTAGTCAAACATTTGCTATGAATTTCCAGGACGGCACTTTGCGCCTTGCAAAACTGATTTTGAGAAAGACAAAAAAACAGCTGTTTTGCAGTCTACTGTTTTGGCCAAACTTGAAATAGCTGGAACTGTTATTTTTTCTATCGGCAAACAAGTTATTAAACCACTTTGAACTTCTTCCATCTTTTGTTTGTCAGCTGGTGGTGGTGCAGCTGGAGCAAGTCTGATGGGAGCCCCAGCTCTGTTGGGTCTTCTTCCTCAAGGAGGATTAATTCAAGCAAGTAAGGTAGTAGGGAGTCATCATTGTAAAAAAGGGGTTGACTGAAATATTCCCCACAAGAAAATTCCTATTTGATCAGTGATGTACATGTGGTGGACAGTAATAGAACCAACATGGAGATATTCTACCAGAATTGAGATCAGTATGCGCACCATGCAAGGAGAGCCTTTCTTTTCCTTGCTCCATTTTGATTTACTCAAGAAAGACTCTGCATGGATCCAGTAAGACCTTTTCTAAGCATGTGCTTAATGTTACCAGGATACAGTTCCAAACCAGGGCCTAATAGCTGTTGCTTGTTTCAGCGAGCTTAGTTATGAACATCAGTTTATCAATGAACTGATGCTCACACTCAAAAAACCAGCTTAATAAAGGAAAAACAAGAACGACTAGTCAAGAAGTTCATGCTGCTTGTAGTTGTAGCAGTCTGACAGAAAGATGGGGCCTTTCTGTAGATACTGTCATCACAAAAGAATCAGAGGAACCAAACAGTAGAGTTCTCCTGGGGGATTTATCATTTGGTTGTATTGTTTCTTTTGTTGTATGCAATTTGTACCTTGGTATATACATGTACCTACAGTGTACAGAAGGAACCAAAAGATGGCTACATTTTATCGTGGATGTCTTGTGCACTGTAGAGGCCCTGTTAGGATAAAATTCAGACAGGCTACTGTACATGTATAATATGGCCTAGAAACCATACTAAAACAGTGCCATCAGATAGCTGACAAGTCGACAAACGACATAAGGATGGGTTAAATACCGACAGGGACATGGTCTACTCCTCAAAATGCAGAATGACCCTATTTCCCTAAGAGAGCCTCAGTATAAGCTTTTGCTCAGCCAAAATGTGTCTTTGCAGATTTACTTGCAGCAGCTGCTGGTAGTCGCAGTGGAGGCAGCCCTGTTGTGCTCGTCAGTAATTTAAATGAAGAGGTGAGAGTGGTTGGAATTTTTAAAGTGCAGTGTTGAGCCCAGTTGCACTGTTAAATATAATATACATGTCTTTACTTTATATTGTATGACAAAATGGGGTTGAAGAAAGTTTGGCTTTTTTTTGTCCAAACCATGAAATGTTTTTGAGTGACTGTTGGAATCATAATCCTTTACTTCACAATAATTTTGCAAAGTTGCAGCAAGAACCTTTTGTTGCAGGTGCTGTAAAATTTGCATTTAATGTGNCAGATTTACTTGCAGCAGCTGCTGGTAGTCGCAGTGGAGGCAGCCCTGTTGTGCTCGTCAGTAATTTAAATGAAGAGGTGAGAGTGGTTGGAATTTTTAAAGTGCAGTGTTGAGCCCAGTTGCACTGTTAAATATAATATACATGTCTTTACTTTATATTGTATGACAAAATGGGGTTGAAGAAAGTTTGGCTTTTTATTGTTCAAACCATGAAATGTTTTTGAGTGACTTTTGGAATCGTAATCCTTTACTTCACGATAATTTTCTAAAGTTGCAGCAAAAACCTTTTTTTGCAGATGCTGCAAAATTTGCATGTAATGTGTTGGTAGGTTACCGGTACCTTAAGCAAAACTTAAATATTCCTTTTTTCTATTTTTGTTCTTCTGGAATTTCACCAAAATAATAACATGTTGCAATTTGACCAATAATAAATAAATTCGAATATTTGAAATTTCAACCACCTCATTCAACAAATTTTTACGGTTTTTTTTTAGCAAATTTTCAATTAAAACATCATCCTTGGCAGGCAAACTAACTGCTTCATTCATTGTTCCTGCCAAAATTTCAAATTACATGTAGCTTTTTTTATCACTATTTTTGGATGTAGTTAAAATGAGTATTTTGCCTGTATGATGTGCATCTAATTCACTCTAATTCTCATACAGTACTTCCAACAAAAAAATTCATCTAAAGCATACAGTTCATGTCACCTTCTTTTCTAACATCCAGGCAGCAAGTTTCATGAGAGAAGTTTCAGCTAGCATAATCTTAAATCGTTCTCTTGGTCATCCAGGTGTACCTTTTGCAAGAACTTCTACATTTCTGTATTTTTTGTGTCTTAAAGCTTCAAAGTAACTGACATTATTTTGTTTAATTTTCTGTTTTTATTTTGTCTAAATCTCCTTCTTTTTTCCTTGTAGCCTTAAAAAAATTTTCACTCCCAGGTGCAAACAACTGAACACTTAAGTTAAAGGGGACTTAATATCTTTTTCATCAATCAAAACACAAAGCATAATGATCAAGTTTGGATAGCTACAGTCACCAATGCAGCACTTCCTGGGGTCGTCATTGATGCTTGCTAGGTGCATGTATTGATGACCCAAAGAATAGCTGCTTAGGAGACCAGGGTCGCTTACCAGAAGTCAGAACTGGTGGGCTGGACCAGTCAATTTGAAAATAAAATAGGCTTTTCCTGAGAGTTTGGCTAAAAAGCTGTCTGTGCTGTGCATAGATTATAAGAATGGACAGTCCTGGATAACAGCTAAATTCTCTCTTTAGCAGAACTGGTTTTTGCCAGCCAGTTCTTACTAATGGAAGTGCCTGGGAAAGCTTTATGTACTGTGCACTACATTCCTGTGGTACCTTCTGTTTTGCTATTAAACAAGTGGCTCACACCTTTGAGATTGTGATTAAAGTTCTTTGGTGTGATCATGTGATCATACTACAGGTGTTTAGAAGTGTTAAGACCATTTTGGTGCTTTTTTTTCCTAACTGTTGTCTGTTGGAGAAATGCTAAATAGTTGTCTTCTAAATTCAATGAGAACTTTCTTTTAAGCATTACTCTCTGTTTGATACTGTTTTCAGTATTTTGAAATTGGAATTGTTTTGAACCTGGGAGTGAACGTGTTTATTTGTATCCTGCAATTTCTTTAAAACAACCTTACTCATCTTATGTTTGTTTCCTTCTTTCCCTCATTATGCTGTTATCGACGCTGACTGATGCCTACCCCCTTGAACTGTTCTCTCTTTTGCTGTCCACTTCAATCTGCTCACGTCACTTGGAATCCATATTCTAGAGGATAAACTGTGACATGCTTTTCACTTTGTTCGGTATGTCTTTTTCCCCCAAGCCTCTGTCATCACCCTTCTTGTTCATTTTGTTTTTCCATACTCAAGAAAGCCTGATTGTGGATGGGTAACCTTCATTTGTTTCAGTGTTATCATGTTATTATTTTTTGTTTTTGATATTGTTTTTTAATTTTGTTGGCATTTCATTGAAGAGCTAATGCTTCTAACTTTCTCCTGAATTATTAAATGCTGTCAAAGTCTGCTCCATTATGCCCATTACCTTTTGAAATGAAGAGAAACCTGGTGCCTTAGTTCTCCACAGAACTAAGAAGTTATCCGTTGGTGTACAAATAATATTTTAATAATTATTTAAGGCAACCCTCTAAGTCCTAATATATATCGGCAGACATATTCTCCTCTCTGTTTTGGGCTGTGTTGTAGCAGTACTGGTGGACTCTGGCAACTTAACTGTGATTAGGGCCCTCGGAAAATCTTTATTTTTTCACAAAACAGATGACTGGTTTCTGACGATTTCTTATAGCACATCTTTTCTGTACTCCAGTTTCTTCTATAGCTGTAATGGGGAGAATTTGCTTAAGAATCAAGACTAAAATATGCAGTATTGCAGGCAAGGAGGAATTAGATGCTGGTCTCTATTAGGGCTTACAGGGTTTAAGAAAAGCCTTAATCTTACAGTAATCCATTTAAGAAAATAAACAATGTAACAATTCATGGTCAAAGAATTCACAAACCATAGGAAATTCATGCTCACTTTAACCAGTCATTTGGATGTCCTGCTAATCCCAGAATTCATTTCCTTTTTCTTTCCTGTCTCAAATTTTTTGTAATCCCTATGGTGTGTCTCATTTGCTACAAAGTTGTAGCAGAGTAATGTCTGGATTATCCAAGTGGTTAAATTATCACCTTTGCATCTTGAAGTGTACATTGCTGTTTTTGAAAGTTGAGCGACTTCATATCACACTCTTTACATTGTGGTATAACAGGTTCAATAATGAAATGCTTAATGTGTGTTCCACTCATAAAACATAAACAATCTGACTGTACACCAATCCTCCATCTGTAGGTGTGTATGGCGACGTAGTTCGTGTAAAGATTCTCTTCAACAAGAAGGATACGGCACTCATCCAGTTCAATGATGGTCAACAGGCCCAAACAGGTACTTCTTACAATCATCATGCTTGTTCTTTTAGAGTTGCACAAAATTTATCAGACAAATGATTCAGATATTCTTTTGGATCTGGATGCACAATGCAATTCTGTGAAATATTTGTGTTGTGATATTTTGATGGTGTTTGTACATTTTGAGCCAACTTCTTGAAAATGGTAGTCATTTTGAAATTATGATGCACGTAACAAACAAAGGCGGTCTCTGAAGACAGTGTTGTTTTATACTTGCATAATATTAATAAATAATTGTCCAATGCTCTTCCGTGGCCTGTCTTTCTTGTACTTAATTTTCATTAGCTTCAATTCTAAACAGAGGTGAGAAAATCAGCTACATAGTACATTATTGCGAGCCAAAAAGCAAACGGAAAAGAAAAATTTGTGCCAAATATTTACATGGGGTTAAGCCAGTGTTTATCAAAACTGCATTAATTGAAGAACCTTAAATATTGCTTGACCTTTCACNTTCAATAATGAAATGCTTAATGTGTGTTCCACTCATAAAACATAAACAATCTGACTGTACACCAATCCTCCATCTGTAGGTGTGTATGGCGACGTAGTTCGTGTAAAGATTCTCTTCAACAAGAAGGATACGGCACTCATCCAGTTCAATGATGGTCAACAGGCCCAAACAGGTACTTCTTACAATCATCATGCTTGTTCTTTTAGAGTTGCACAAAATTTATCAGACAAATGATTCAGATATTCTTTTGGATCTGGATGCACAATGCAATTCTGTGAAATATTTGTGTTGTGATATTTTGATGGTGTTTGTACATTTTGAGCCAACTTCTTGAAAATGGTAGTCATTTTGAAATTATGATGCACGTAACAAACAAAGGCGGTCTCTGAAGACAGTGTTGTTTTATACTTGCATAATATTAATAAATAATTGTCCAATGCTCTTCCGTGGCCTGTCTTTCTTGTACTTAATTTTCATTAGCTTCAATTCTAAACAGAGGTGAGAAAATCAGCTACATAGTACATTATTGCGAGCCAAAAAGCAAACGGAAAAGAAAAATTTGTGCCAAATATTTACATGGGGTTAAGCCAGTGTTTATCAAAACTGCATTAATTGAAGAACCTTAAATATTGCTTGACCTTTCACATCATTGATTTCTTCCACACTTGTATAAGCCATTAATTTTCAGTCTGCCCAACCCTATTGTCTGTTCACTGTAATTGGTTAACAGTTTCATGAAAGCATTTACATGTAGCATAGACTAGAAAGGCATTTATCTTCTTAAAATGACCCGGTCAGAAATGGATCTGGAGTTCTGAAGATTTTTTAACTAGTAACTTAAGTATAGGCTAGTTGTTTAAATAACCCTTGGTGTCTTAAAGGTCTTTACTGAGTAAATGTTGTTTTCATTCTCAGCGATTTCAATTTTGAATGGAGTCAGAGTTTATGGAAAAGAAATTAGGGTCACAGCATCTAAACACTACTCAGTCTCTATGCCCAAGGAAGGAGATGTAAGTTGTCATGATTCATTAGTAGAGTGATTTTAGTGTCCTTTTTGAACGGTTGTTTTTGCTCCAGTTTTATAGGGGTAGTCTCAACAGAGAAACTTTCATTTCCTTTTATTTTCAGGAAAACAATCTGACCAAAGATTTTACAAACTCACCTCTACACCGCTTCAAAAAGCCAGGATCCAAAAATTTTCAGAATATTTTCCCACCAATCAGAACACTACATGTCTCAAATATCCCGTAAGTGTTGGCTTTCATTTACCAATAAGAATAATTATTATGAATGAAACATATAAATTAATAAATAAAATAAACGATTGAGATGTAGCACATCCACAAAGTGGTTCTTCATCTACCTTATTCATGGTCATGTTGGTTTTTTGAGGAGTGGGGAAAACTGGAGTACCCAGAGTAAAACCTCTCCGAGCAAAGGAGAGAACCAACATCAAACTCAACCCACATATGGCGTTGACGTGATTTTATCACTAGTTCAAGTTTAATTGGAGACTTTTCTCTGTTCAGCCCCTCTGAAGACTTATTAATTTTGTTTTCAATTTTTATAGACTGGGTGCTTACAATAAGGCGGGGTCATGGAAAGGGGGGCCTCATTTTTGTGCCATAGAGTGGAGGCTTATTATGATGGGCACTTATCAGGGGCTGGGTCCAATAATATGGTAACCAACATGTCATATTTCTAAAATGTTTCATTTGCTGTGGAAAATACAGTGACTCAGCAACAGAGGAAGAATTGGTGGATGCTTTTAGTGAAGCAGGGACAGTGACAGACTTCCGCTTTTTCCTGTGAGTATTTGTAGAACTATTATTGCAGACATGCATCCTAGATAGCACATACATGTATGACAGTCTTCAGAAATCTTAAGAACCAAACGGTAGTCAAAGCTGTTCATGTAGCATGTTACATGTACGCTTCACACGGGCCCAATAAGTGCAGTTTCTCAGTTTTAAAAGCAATTTTCTGTTGATCATAAAAATCAGTTTTGGAATTGCTTATATGGCTTGTTTTTCCTGTCTTGATGATTGGTGCAATCGTTTGCTTCACTTTCTCAAACAAACTAATTTTGACCAGCTAGCATGCACGTGCTTGGCACCTGTCAAGTTTTCCTTGAAAACTGATTGGCTGTTTCCACTGGTTTTAAATGTTATTTTAACTCGAGTAACAGTCACATTAAAGATGAAGCTGTTTTGAATTAAGTTTCACCTTTTGGAAGTCACTCCACTGCCACTCCACTGTTTTCCAGTTAGTGCATGTACTCTCAGGGGACTATTTTTATATTTCAGCATAAAAACAACGGGACGCTAATCATCTGCGGGACTATAGAACTTAGCTTTTGAAGAAATGCTATGATTGAAAATATTGAAAGATTTAAACAAGAGGGAAAGTAAAATATAACAACTTGGGAAATTCCTTTGTACTTAATTGCCCCATTATTTGGCACTGTTTACAGGAAGGACCATAGGATGGCTTTCGTAAATATGACGTCAACAGAAGAAGCTATTGATGCTCTCATTGTAAGTTATTAATCATTGTAACTATAATAATTCAATTGATAATAGGCATATCCTAGCCTTGATCATGCAAGAACTAACTTGGGTCTTTGCTACTCCCAACAGAAAATGCACAACTATAAAATTACAGAGTCAAATCACCTGAGAGTATCATTCGCCAAGCAAGTGATGGCATCCTGAACTGCATCGTTTGGAGAAGCTTACACATCACTTGACCGTTCACGTCATTCTTCCACAGTTGTATGAACCATTTCTTGCAATCAGATGGGCTTTGTATAAAGACAACCAGAGTTCTTCATGTTTTGCCCTTTTGATGGTGGCGGGTATGCATTTTGGAAGCTACCAGGAACATTTTGGTTCTCTCTTTTCTGTCAGGGTTATGGCATTTATATCCTGCTGTCTAGCCTTGTTTGTTGCTGAAGGATTTCTCCTCAATACTTCAATACACTTCTCTCTACTCAGCATTATTTTTTTTGGCGAAAGTACTATATCCAGGGATCTAGAGAAGGGAATAGCAAATGTTATGTGCTACCTCAAAATCATTATTCTGAGTACTCTTTGATTATTTTTAAACTGTGTACTTAAATATACATTTCGCACGTGCATCTTTTCTTTGCGACGTTTTTCGGGTAATGCGCCAACAGTTAACGTGCAATTTTTTTTCTTATTTTTGGTGTTTCTTTGCTATGACCATATTATAGTCCTTAAAATTTTCGTTTCCTTGAATTTAATGTAATTTAACAATTTGATGGGTAAAGTTAAGAAAGATTTTAAAAATAGTATATTACGTTGTTATGTTTCCAGTTTAGCAGGGCCAAGTTTTTCAAAAGCTTATAAGGATCAATCTAGGTTAGGAGTGATTTTACTTGAACCATGAAACAGATACTAACAAATAGTACAAAACAGCAAGAGGGAAACAAAAGAAGACAATGGAATTGGTGCATAAAAGTGCGTAGTATTCCACTACCTGTTTCACGGGTTAAGTAAAATTACTCTAGTTTCTTATAACAACTAATAAGTCACTTTTACAGCCAACCCAAGATTAGAGCTTTCAGCGCTTCGAACAGTTTGAACCAGAGCTGCTTTAAAATGTCCTAGAATGCCAGTAATTATAATGGGCTTGGGATATTGGGATCAAGAATATGTGATAGGGAATTTAAATACGCGGAAGGAATTTGATTTGAAGAGAAGATGTTGAAACACTGAGCTAACACTGGCATATTTTCAATTCAGCTTTCTTGAAAGGGGCTTTAATTTAAGCTTAATTTAGCTTTCTCAACTTCTTTGCGAGAAGCATCAGTTGACTTTTGTGTAATTAAAGAAATATGCAATGCAAGGGGTAAAAACAGACTTGGAACTTTCTCATAAAACTTATGTCAATGTAGTAAAACTCAGACGTAGATTCTCTAAGTCTGCTACTCGGCCAAAGTGTTTCTTGTTTTTGTCTTTACTTTGAACTCTTTCACACCCAGTAGAAAAGGTAAAGACTTGCAACAAAGATAAACTTTGCAGAATAATGAGGATGAAATCCTAAAGTTTGACCATTCAAACAAACGCTACTGAGCAAATACTTTCTTATGGTAGTTTTTCTATCATGATGTTCAAAGTGGTTTTAACTTTCGAGCTGTGGGCGAGTTCCTTTAAGTGTGACCACATAAGTGAAAGCTACTGGGCAGTACTTTATAAGGGGGTTGACCATTTCTGTTGGGTGTGAAAGCGTTACGCTCTTGTCTTTCCATTTTTCAAGTCAGTATATAAACTTTAATTACTATCCTACGCTGCCGTTATTTGGGATATTATGCAACACTGTCCGGCCCAAATAACGTCTGCGTGGGGGACTAGTATGTTGGTGAATCCCTTCCAGTTGACCCTTCAACTCCCATGATTTGATGATTAATTCTCATTTCTCATTACTAAATATCATATTGAATGTTGAATAAGAGAATTTTGGATCGTATCATTGGAGACCTTTAGATTCGAGGACGAGATTTGATTCAAAGTTTTTCGCTTATTATTAAAAAGTGGACACCCCGGAAAACTCCGGTGTACTTTTTTCACCAGAAAAGGTTGCACTGTTTATATCTTTATTGATAGGAGGTTAAGCCCTCTTCTGAAACTTCTAACACTTGATAACTTGTTTCCGCTACGACATTCTCGCTAAAACGCTTAGGACAATGACGACGGATGTCACGTTTTCCCGCCAAAATGTCGTTGGTTTACACACGAGCACTACTAAGCTCTCTATTACAACATCCATTGGGTGATAAATTTGCCTATTCTCATCACTTGTGTGTTGGACAGTGTATTGGATATTGTAAGGAGAAGTTAATGCCAATCACTCCTGGGAGTTGAAGAGTGAAGAGTTGCTTTTATTTGATATGCACTGTGTTGCTATGAGTGCGCCTCGTTAAGAAATTAGGACTACATTTTATCAAGTATTGTAATTGTAGGTACGCTTGAACTTGTTTTTAGCGTTAATTGATGGTATTTGAGGGAGGGCCTTGTAAAAACATCATTGGCGTCAATTGCATTTGTAGTAACTTTTCATATGAAAAGGATTTTTTAGAAAAATAAACATTAATTTCCTAAGTTTTTTGTGTGTTGTTTGTCTGCGAAATGCAAGAGGAAAACCATCGGCGTATACATATTGCAACTAGACTGCAAAACAGTCGGTTTTTTTCTCAAAATTAGTAAAGAAATCGGTAAAGCGTGGCGTAAGAGTCTTACTCGCGAAGCGCGCGAGCCTCACACGCCCTACGCAGACCTTTTGTTTGACTGCTCGCGCGTAAAAATACGGACTGTTTTGCAGTCTATATTGCAACTAGAAGAGAGGTTTTCATTCAATAAAGGACTGGTCCACACCCAAAAACAGAAAAACAGCGTACTGGATTTATCCTAACACTTCGTCGATACTGCTTTAAGAATTCTGAATTTGACAGTGCACCCAAAAGAAGTGGAGATACTATGGGCCATTTTTTCTTCTTCGTAGGGCTTATCCTTACCTAAATGACCCACATGACCCAAACGACCCATCTGACCCATTTGACCTACATGACCCATATGACCCACGCGACGGGTACCTTAGCAGGAGAGAGCCATTATTGTTGCGATAGTTTATGACGTTAGTTGTGGGTTTTTACACCGAGGATAAGCCCTTCGTAGAGAGTTATAGCCCCAGGCGTTCCCAGCGGACACTGTCGAAACTGTGGATAAGATCGCGACTTGACCTACGACGACGACCAAAAAAAAAACTCCAAAGGGCCATGCATGTTTTGTGAAGAAAGCTTTGGAAAGATTTTAAAAATGCGAGAGATGTCTAGCTTTTCCAGAACGGGTCGGTCCACGAATTCTATCGATTGAAATGAGTCTTGTGATAAGCAAACAAATGGTCGAATACGATATAAAAAGTAAATACCCTGGAGAATACTCGACCTTCGATAAAGTAGGACGTGGTGCGAAGGCGAAGAGTTCGAAAGTGAGTGAATTAACGCGTTACGTTTTTCAGAATATTTGAAGCAATTCCTGGAATTCTACGGTAAAATAGATTCGATGTTTTTTTGAAGATTCACTTTGTTGTACGTATTTAATTCCTAGATTTTCGCAGTTGTTAAGAGCTTTTGCGGAAAAATCTGAAGTCGGGTTACACTTTGTATGTACGTGGGATATCAATCATTTTTTGTCAACTACTCGTCACGTATGTGTCGCGGATATGTTACGAAAAGCGAAGTTCAAATCCGTTTTCAAGCACAATAAGCCACTTGCACTAAGAGGTCACGTGACCAATGCTTCCCTTAAACAATGACTTGGAATCTTACACCCGAAATTTGAGAGAAAACGCATTTAAGGGGGATATTTTATGGTTCTTTGATTTTTCAACAAAGTAGTATGATTTGTATTGCCATATTGGAGGGCATACTCTTGCCCTCCAACATGGCGGTCAAAACTACTTTTTGCTCGTATCTTGTAAATCGCTTGATAGTTACGCTCAGATGTGCTGTAAACGTTACCACATCATCTTTTCAACAATTTCCTTGAAGTTTAAGTGCAAAATTTTTGTTCAGAAAGAGGTAATTCGTAGTTTAAAAAATTTCATTTTGGTCACGTGACCAGCCACGAACTTGCTCATTTTAAGAAAATGGTGCGGGTTTGAAAAACTAAATCACTATTATTTTGTTTAAGATATGACCCACTAATTTTTTTTTGAAGGCGAAATCATATAACTTTCATTTTCATAAAACTGATGTCACATGACCTCTTAGTGCAAGTGGCCTATTTAAATCTGTTTTTGAATGTCATGCGAAAACGAAAAGTGGAGAAGGAACTTGAATTCCGATTTCCCATGCTATAGGAAAACGGTCGGTTTCTAGCCTGCGTAGTTGGCGGGGTTTTTTTGCTGTTTTTTCTTTTGTGGCTCGTAAAGTAAGATTCAGCCGCGCCAAAGCTGACATGAGGACGAAAAAGAAAAACGACGGGGGAGGGGGCGGGGGGAGAAGGCAGTGGAAAAAAATGCCTTCTCACCTCGCCCCCTCCCTCATCGTTTTCTGTTTCAACCTCGGTTCAGCTTTCGCGCGGCTGTTACTCTTTCTTCGAAACACAACAAAAACCGCCAGCTACGCAGGCTCGCTTGCCCCCATGTCGGAATGTTAGAATGACAAGAACTTTTCTGAGGGGACTGGACTTGTAATACTGTCTGACGAAAACCCCAGGGGACCCCGGGTCCATTCACTGGTCCACAAGCAGCAGCGAAAACGTCACTGTTAAAATGAATTCGCGTTTTTTTCAAACGTTCTGAAAACTTCAAATGTAGGCATATGTATTCCCTGGAGTTGATTTCTTGGGGACCGCACTCAAGTTTAGAAAGAGAAAAATTCGTCGACGCTTGTTAACGTCCTCCATAGAGTACTAAAGTGATGACGTCATAAAAATGAAATTTCTGAAATTATGGGATTTGTCAGGATATTCTGAAAGAACAATGTCCAAGAGGCCTACTTGCCAAAAATGAGCATTTGGGGGCAAATTGTCTCTGAGATCGTAGCCCAGTTATAATCAGAAAACTCCATACAAACCCTTCTAAATTTTTTTTGGGTCGACCCCAAAAAAATTTAGAAGGGTTTGTATGGAGTTTTGTAAGCATAACTGGGCTACGATCTCAGAGACAATTTGCCCCCAAATGCTCATTTTTGGCAAGTAGGCCTCTTGGACGTTGTTCTTTCAGAATATCCTGACAAATCCCATAATTTCAGAAATTTCATTTTTATGACGTCACACTTTAGTACTCTATAAAGCATAAAATTAGACATTTTCACGTCTTTAATTAGTCGTGCAGAGACGGAATAGAAATGTACAAAAAAGCGTGAAGCATGTGCAAAGTTGTTGTTTTGCTGAAAAACCTATTGTGTTTTTTTGACGTTCTCGTCGTTGCTAAAGCTCCCTATTAATTCACTCCTCGTGTGCTTGTGTTTTCTTGTCATTAGCTGGCAAAATTCAAAATACTTAAGAACACTTTCCAGGAGGTTCAGTCCAGAATGTTTACTTTTTTAAGCCCCCCAGTTTCAAGTAACCTCCAAAAAAATTTACCCTCGTCTGTAGTCTGTTTGCTTCCTGGCCTTAAAACTGAGCTATGAGCGAGTCGTTCTCGTTAATAAATACGGCTAAATTACATAAACTTCTTTTACCTGCTTGCTTGAAACTTCGAGACTTAAACCATCCCTCCGGTTGCTTAACAGCACAGTGTGAACCAGGAACTGCATTATTTTCTGTAGCCATTTATGCGCCGTGAGAAGTAATTCCGTGGTTTGTTGTTTGTTTGTTTGAACGAGTCTAAAATTAATGACGTCATTGGTGCGCTTCCTCGTCCCCAGGGTCTTCTCGTTCCAATAGGCCATTGCCAAGTTGCCCCTATGTTCTGTCAAAGCTAAGCAAGTTCCAGGGGGGTGGAGAGGGGAAATCCGAATTCAAGTGACGGAGATGATCGAAGGTTTTTTGGGGGTTTGAAATTTTCGATTCTGGGATAATTTTGGGTGGCTCGAGTTGAGAAGGGATTTTTTGGGGGGGATATTCAAAACAATCTGAAGATTCGTGGTAGTGCCCTCGTATCCCGGCCCCACTGGGGCTAAGTGCGAAGCTTTTTATATGAAAAATATTTTATATTCTTATGCAAACAAAACTCAATTTTGCACTTACCCTCGTTTTGAAAGTGAGGGTTTTTGTAACTCGGAAATGGCCTTTTGGAAAAACTGAGAACACCCTGGGGACGAGCTGGCGGCAGATTTCTGAATATGCTGAACAAGTGCTAAGCATTTTATTTCTGACAGAAACACGACAGACTATGTGATCACCCGAAATCGATGAGAATGTATTAGCATTCTCGCTGGTGTAAGTTCTGGCGAACAAAAGGATTCATTCGGTTTTTCTATACTACTAACTTCATTCTTTTAGCGGAAAGATGCAATTAATTATAATGAAACTGAAATACTGTTGAAGTAATTCTCCCGGATAAATATGAAAGACAATGAGCAGCCGTAGCACTGTGATTAAGGCTATGTTCACCTTAATGTCGTACCCAAATCTCACTCCGTCTTATGCTGAAAAGTGAGATATCCCTTTCCCTTGGCCTTGGGAGATCTGGGTACGAGATACCGAATAACGTTTGCGCCGCCACGATAATCATACCGTATAGGGTCTCTGTTCACACACAAGAACGGTTGCGGTTGTGCGACTTCTGTGACGGAACGAAGCTGCGGCTCGCCGATTTATAAAGTTGAGAGTCATCGGATAGCTGTATACACTACAGGGGATAGTTTTATGCGGCGAAAGGCATCCCGCTTTAGAGTGGGCAAAGCATAAGAGCAACACGAGAGGTATAAAGAACAACAAATTAGTTTCACCACAATACACCCACATTTATTACCATATTATGTTGATGCTAATACCAGACTACAAAGGCAAAATACCTTTTACACTACAGTTTCGATTTTTAGTTGACTATCTTTGAAATTCAAAGCTGCGCAGTTACAGGGTTGCTTTAACTTTCCTGTTTTGTTCGCGAACTGGAAACAATTTTTCTAGTTATTTGGCTCATATGATCATATGACCTTTTCACGATCATGCAAATCCTGCTAAGACTATTAAGGTTAAAACTGATGCTAGAAATAATCCCATGCTGGTCGGGATGTGAAGTTTATAGATCAAAGTTCTCTCACTAGGTTTATATCTACCATAACAATAGTTAAAATGTTTAATTCTACAACTACAAAAAAGTAAATCAGTTATAAATCGGACGGTACGGCCAAGACAATTATCACGTGCCAATCACGTGACTATGCTGTTAACCACTCAGGGAAGATGCTAAGAAAGCCACACCGCGCTCATAAAAGCGATGCTCTCGACCAGCGGGTTCACCTCTAGTTGCCATGTCAACAGTGAACAGAAGCTCGGTACGTGTTTGATTGAGATACACTGGTAGGGTGACCTGCAAAAAACAAATTGTTCAACTGTCACTACTTCGCGAAGAGCTGCTCGCCCCGTTGCTTTGGAGAATGAGGTTACGCAACAGGACGGCAGAAAGAAAAAGACGGCAAAACGCTTGTGGGTGAAAAACGTAACAGGGCTCTTACTTGCGTGTGTTGTCGTGATCTTCACTTACATTAATGTTTTTGGGTCTTTTACAAAAAGATCTGTTTAAAGGAGGGTGAAGTTGGGCGAAAAGTTTTTTCAAACAAAATTATTGTCACGCTTGTTGGCACATTGGACGCAAAAAACCCCTGATTTTTAGCATCTTAAAGTTTGCACTCAAATGACAGCAGATTTCGGCACGTTCGTTTTCAAGAATCCGGCTAGATATAAGATATGTCCAGACAAAAATTAAATAACTAAAACAGTTACACATACCTTTCCTTCGAGTAAATGGTCAGTTCCCGGTTCAACCCTGAAAACGTACCATAAAATACACGATCAATGACGGTATGGCAGATACATACCTGACATACACGCAAGAATGTTATCGAGCCTTTCGCTGTACTGAGACAAGCTCAATTACTACCTTGTAAGATCTTAAAGGAGGTGGCCAAGCTCAGAAAGTCGGTGGAGCAACAGGTATTAATCTAAGCCGCACGACGTCGATTCAACTGCCTCAAGGTAAAGTAAAGACATGCACAATGCACGATACACAAAAAAAATCAAACAGCAACTAAAGAAGAAGGAAAAAAAAAAAAAACAGAATGGAATGATTAAGGGTTTTGTTGTCTATCCTTGCGTCGACGTCTTTTCTGGGGCACTTCAAAGAATACCATGGCATTAAAACAACAACAACATCAACAAAACACTACACCGCCTTAACTCCAATTTTCGACCTTTTTAGCAAAAATTATAAAATTCGTCTACCAACAATGCTCAGCAATCTTTTATCCTAACGAAAGAGCTCACCAGGCCGCAGAACAAAAATATCAATTGAACAATTCTACAGGCATTATAACATTTTTTACCTGATCCACTTCAGACTGGTCAGCGGCAGATCAGTCAAAATCGTTGCTGTCAGTTCTAACTTGTTGTCAAGGCAACGGGCACCTTGAAGTCGAAGTCCTGCGAGAAATCAATCACCCTTTTAAAATGACTGTACAACAACAAATCTCGTTCCCAGGATCACTCTTCGCCCCGTCTTCCCGCTCCAGGGGACTGAATCCTGCAACCTCGACACCAAAAGGAGACTGCGCATGGCGTCATCGAAAAAAAGAAAGCCTGGAAGAGTTCTAGAAGTTCCAATCGTCTCCCTTTGGTGTTGTTGATCAAATTATATTATTGTTTGATCCCGTTTTATTATGAACCATTCAGTTTGATGTTACCGATCACTCAGACAAAAAGCGGTTCTTTCATAAAACTAGTATATTTTGGCTATTTTGCCACTAAAGGTTTAGAGCTAATACCTAGTAAACACACAGACTTATATTACCTTTAATTCCAAAGCTGCAGTCATCAATGGTAAGGCGATCGTCGGGTCCATTTGCAATAGTAACCTTTAAAGAGATGTAAAGACGAAGAACACTACCTTTCAGTAAATATAAATACTGCAATATCCTTAGTAGAGTTTTTTTTTTCAATCAGAGACAAGAGGAGAAGACGAATGAAGAAAAAAAAAAGGAGAGAGAGGAAACAATAAAAAAGGAAAGGAAAGAACGAAAGAGGTTACCTCCAATGTTAGTTCTTCTAGGGACCAATTGTTCGCCTGTGCAACGAACTGACGGGTTGCTGTGATGTATGCCTCAGGGACAAACATTCCGCCCAGCCAAATATGCAAATTCTAAGAGCAAAAGTAAAACAACTTTAGACAAGCGATAGGATGCAAAGCAAAAAAGGTTACTTTTCTCCGAGCGATAGCCAGAGAATCCAGTAATTTTTTGTGCTGCTTCAGTAACATGACATGCTTCTTCAATGGCATTCACGGTCTATTTAGAGTGACAAACTTTAGCTTTCTTCTAACAATATCAATTTATAATCCGGAGATAAGATCAGGACAATTTACAAAATGATCACCAAAGGGAAAATGCCTTGATCTGTTATTAACCTCTGTTAACTTATTTCTTAAGGAAATGTATGGGGAAATGTATGGGGATCAGAATTTGCATGTGGATATTGGAGCTGAAAGGGATAAGCCTTTATGTCAGCATGATGTACATTCTCCACACTATTATCCACATATTTGCGGATCATTATACGTTTCTGGGAAAGTGCCTACCTACCCCTCCCCTAAGCCAAGATTTTGCCCTAAGTGAGAAGTAACTGTTAATGTTGGCTTAGGGGAGGGGTAGGTGTGCAGTTTCCCAGACTGAAACGTAAGATGATAAAATTTTTAAGGTAGTGATGAGAATTTGTTTAACAATCAAGATTTTTTCTCTTCTTCATCATTTCTCTTTATCAATCATAGGAGTTATGGAGTTAAAAAAAAACTGTATTCCTTTACACACATGCGCCAATTAAATCAGCCTGCGTCGCAGGCTAGCAACTCACGACTAGCAACGTCTGCGAACCAATCGAACAATGGCTTTTTTAACGGGACAATTATGGTGCGTACTCAAATTCTAGTACACAGCTGGGGGCACAGAAAAAGGATTTCGGCGCTGGCTCGCAGACAGACTTAACCTAGGGGTTTAGTTTCGTCTGTGGCGAAGGCTGAAATTTTTTTTTTAGGTTTTTGGTTGAATGTCGGAAAAGCTAACCTTAAGGCCCTTGGCTCCACCCGTGTTGGCAGCATGGGAGATCTTCTGAAGCTGCTTAATTCGGTCACTGAAGTCTGCTACCCACTGAAGAACTGTCAGGCCTTTTGGAACGGTATAGCGTCTCCAGTTAGATGGCAAAATACCTGAAATTACACAAAGGAACGACAGTTAATCTAACGCGGTTTTTCTTACATTTGTAAATATCGAAAGTAATTTTTTTTTTGTTTAGCACTTTCACGTTTGAGGATTGACTGGGTAATTAGGTTGGTACTGTAGAAGATGATTATTTTCTTAGTAAGTGTAAAAAAAGCGACTCTTACCCTTAACCAAGTCGCTCATGAGGTTCCTCAGGTAATTGGTGGGCTTCTTTTGGCTTTCACAGACGAGCACCACATGATTAAGGTCCTCTCGGATGGTATTCAAAAGCTGGTAGCCAGTATTGACCTGCGGAAGTAAAACAACAATAAACTTAACATATTTCTTCAACTATTCAAATTTGTCAAGCAAAAAGGTTACAACAATTTGATCCTAGAATATAAATTACAGTAAAAGTTCCGAAATTTCTACCCGAACAAGAAGACGACTCATTAATGGCGCAATTGTTTTAAAACTGCAAGGGCTACTTGGTACTTACTTCACGTTCAAAGTAGCGGAAAAGTGGGTCCTTGATGTTGTCTAATGTTCGTTTTAACGGCGTCAAATCCTACAAAAAAAAATGTTACAGTAAGATTGGTTTTAAACCGAGAAATGGCAGAGTGGAAGGACAAAGCAGTCAGTCTCACTTGCCGATGACATATAGATGGAACAATCCAATTCACTACTCCGTGAAGGCATAGGTGCAAGCTTTCAGCGCAAAGATTTCTGGTACCGTTTGGTTGGACAAGCGTTACTTATGATTGGTTAATGGTTGAATACCATTGACCAATCACAACTAACGCTTAACCACCCAAACGATCCCACAAAGCACTGCACCCAAAGCTTGTACCCATTCTCCCTTTCGTTTCTGAAGTAGCCAATGACGTAATCGAAGCTATGTAGGTAGCTGCTGTCAAGGATCATCAAGAGCAAGAAAACGTGATCGGCCAAGTCACAATTGGCGTTAGTTTCAATTCGATTGGCTAAGGTTGCGGCATTACACGTACTTTTGACAACTAATAACAAAGTGCAATCGTGCAAAAGCAAAGAAATACGACTTGCTTACGACGTTATGACAATTGACCAAAAATGTCTAAAACTCAGCACCAAAAATCTAAGCCTTTTCCATGCGTTCCAGCGGTGGTCGATCAAAGGAAAGACAACGTGTGGTTGACAAAAATCAGTGAAATGGAAGGCACACAACATTTCTCATTTTTTATCTCCCTGCAAAATCTTACTGTATGAATCAGGCTTCAGAATCACGTACTTTACGAGCATTTTTTTATACCTTTGGTATCATGCTAAGCCAGTTTGCAGCTGTTGAGTGCAAGGTTCTCATCCACGCGGGTCGGGGGTCACTCTCTCGCCTCTGTTTCCTACAAACACAAAGGGAAGTTGGAACAAATGTTAATTCCCCCCTTTAGAAATAAGGGGAATGGGTACAAGCTTTCAGCGCAATGAATTTTGGGATCATTTGGGTGGACAAGCGTCACTGTAATTAGTAAATGGTTGCCTTAGATATCACTGATCAATGATAACAAACGTTTATCTACGCAAAAGATCCAAGAAATCACTGCACCCAAAGCTAGTACCCATTCTTCCTACAGTTTGAGGAGTTTGGAATGCTGTTTATTATGCTGCACAAAATGGTTCTAACTTCTTCGTCACTTGCTGATAAAATCCTTACGTGTGACAATTAAAAATGAAAGCTAGTGAGTAGCTCCAGCTGTTTGAATCTATGGATGAAATGGTAACGCCTAGGTAGGCATATAAAAGCTTCTGAACAGTAGTTTTCTGTGGTGATGTTTATAATGCCGTAGAAGAAAGACTTAAAGTCGAACACCGTCCTTAAATGTGTTGACTGAAGCAAAAGCCATAGTTTTAAGCTGCATTTATCGTGGTCTGTTTGGATTAAAACTTTTTTTAGTAACCAAAGTTTTTTTGGTGTAATCACTTACATAACCATTACCCCTTTATCTGCTTATAACACCCATTCTAAGAATATTCACCTTTTAAACTTACTTTTTAACAAGTCACCTCTTGACCGTAACTTTGAATTTAAAGTCAATAAAATGTTTTACGCAGAATGAAAAAAAATAAATAAATAAAATAAACAGGAAGAACAAAAATAATAGGTCGAAAGAATGATTAAACGAATGCTTTGCATATGAATGTTGAAACTGAAGCGATGGTTAAGTGTACAAGCAACGTATGCAAGCAAGCACTTTACTCATTTCCTTAGTTGTCATTTTCTTGCTTTCACGAAATTTGACACCCTTTCCTCTTGCTATTTTAAGGAAATTACGGAAACTTAGTAACTATCGTCCTCTTCTCCCTCAAGAATTCAACTTTTAGGACACTAACAGGTTGCCGCCATCGTTTTATACAAAATTAGCGATAGCGGCAAAGTATGACGTCACAAAAATTAAATTGGCAGAACGCCATGGAAAGGGGGGGGGTGGGTGGGGAAGAGGTGTCGAGGGATAGATCACTCTCCATTCGCAAGAAAAGTGATTTGTTTCGCTTAATTTTTAACAATTAAAATTTAATTTGCTATGACAACAGATGATACTTTTAAGCTCTCTGTTTACCAAAAGAACAGAGTGATCTGTTAACTAACCAATCGTTTTTAACCAATTGAAGTGCCCGTTATATTACGCTTATTCTATAAAAGCCTTTACTTTACTTACTCTGCACCATATATCCCGTGTATGAGAGGTACTTCAAGAGGCTGGCCTAAGCTTTAAAGCCCCACTGGGGCTAAGTGCGAAGCTTTTTATATGAAAAATATTTTATATTCTTATGCAAACAAAACTCAATTTTGCACTTACCCTCGTTTTGAAAGTGAGGGTTTTTGTAACTCGGAAATGGCCTTTTGGAAAAACTGAGAACACCCTGGGGACGAGCTGGCGGCAGATTTCTGAATATGCTGAACAAGTGCTAAGCATTTTATTTCTGACAGAAACACGACAGACTATGTGATCACCCGAAATCGATGAGAATGTATTAGCATTCTCGCTGGTGTAAGTTCTGGCGAACAAAAGGATTCATTCGGTTTTTCTATACTACTAACTTCATTCTTTTAGCGGAAAGATGCAATTAATTATAATGAAACTGAAATACTGTTGAAGTAATTCTCCCGGATAAATATGAAAGACAATGAGCAGCCGTAGCACTGTGATTAAGGCTATGTTCACCTTAATGTCGTACCCAAATCTCACTCCGTCTTATGCTGAAAAGTGAGATATCCCTTTCCCTTGGCCTTGGGAGATCTGGGTACGAGATACCGAATAACGTTTGCGCCGCCACGATAATCATACCGTATAGGGTCTCTGTTCACACACAAGAACGGTTGCGGTTGTGCGACTTCTGTGACGGAACGAAGCTGCGGCTCGCCGATTTATAAAGTTGAGAGTCATCGGATAGCTGTATACACTACAGGGGATAGTTTTATGCGGCGAAAGGCATCCCGCTTTAGAGTGGGCAAAGCATAAGAGCAACACGAGAGGTATAAAGAACAACAAATTAGTTTCACCACAATACACCCACATTTATTACCATATTATGTTGATGCTAATACCAGACTACAAAGGCAAAATACCTTTTACACTACAGTTTCGATTTTTAGTTGACTATCTTTGAAATTCAAAGCTGCGCAGTTACAGGGTTGCTTTAACTTTCCTGTTTTGTTCGCGAACTGGAAACAATTTTTCTAGTTATTTGGCTCATATGATCATATGACCTTTTCACGATCATGCAAATCCTGCTAAGACTATTAAGGTTAAAACTGATGCTAGAAATAATCCCATGCTGGTCGGGATGTGAAGTTTATAGATCAAAGTTCTCTCACTAGGTTTATATCTACCATAACAATAGTTAAAATGTTTAATTCTACAACTACAAAAAAGTAAATCAGTTATAAATCGGACGGTACGGCCAAGACAATTATCACGTGCCAATCACGTGACTATGCTGTTAACCACTCAGGGAAGATGCTAAGAAAGCCACACCGCGCTCATAAAAGCGATGCTCTCGACCAGCGGGTTCACCTCTAGTTGCCATGTCAACAGTGAACAGAAGCTCGGTACGTGTTTGATTGAGATACACTGGTAGGGTGACCTGCAGAAAGAAAAAGACGGCACAACGCTTGTGGGTGAAAAACGTAACACGGCTATTACTTGCGTGTGTTGTCGTGATCTTCACTTACATTAATGTTTTCGGGTCTTTTACAAAAAGATCTGTTTCAAGGAGGGTGAAGTTGGGCGAAAAGTTTTTTTCAAACAAAATTATTGTCACGCTCGTTGGCACATCGGACGCAAAAAACCCCTGATTTTTAGCATCTTAAAGTTTGCACTCAAATGACAGCAGATTTCGGCACGTTCGTTTTCAAGAATCCGGCTAGATATAAGATATGACAGGACATAAATTAAACGTTAATAACTAAAACAGTTACACATACCTTTCCTTCGAGTAAATGGTCAGTTCCCGGTTCAACCCTAAAAATATACCATAAAATACGCGATCAATGACTGTATGGCAGATACATACCTGACATACACGCAAGAATGTTATCAAGCCTTTCGCTGTCCTTAGACAAGCTCAATTGCCACCTTGTAAGATCTTAAAGGAGGTGGCCAAGCTCAGAAAGTCGGCGGAGCAACAGGGATTAATCTAAACCGCAACTGCCTCAAGGTAAAGTTAAAGAAATGCACAATACAAAAAAAGAAAAAATTCAAACAGTAACTAAAGAAGAAGGGAAAAAAAACAGAATGCAATGATTAAGGGTTTTGTTGTCTATCCTTGCGTCAACCTCTTTTCACTGGCACTTCAAAGAATACCATGGCATCAACAAACACTACACCGCCTTGACTACATTTTTAGACCTTTTTAGCAATAATTATAAAATTCCTCTACCAACAATGATCAGCAATCTTTTATCCTAACGAAAGAGCTCACGAGGCCGCAGAACAAAAATATCAATTGAACAACGCATTAAAACATTTTTTACCTGATCCACTTCAGACTGGTCAGCGGCAGATCAGTCAAAATCGTTGCTGTCAGTTCTAACTTGTTGTCAAGGCAACGGGCACCTTGGAGTCGAAGTCCTGCGAGAAATCAATCACCCTTTTAAAATGACTGAAAGACAACCAATCTCGTTCCCAGGGTCACTCTTCGCCCCGTCTTCCCACTCTAAGGGAACTGAATCCTGCAGCCTCGACACCAAAAGGAGACTGCACATGGAGTCATCGAAAAAGAAAAGCCTGGAGGAGTTCTAGACGTTCCACATGTCTCCCTTACGGTGTTGGTGATCAAATTATATTAGTTTTCTGATTGTATTTTATTATGAACCATTCAGTTTGATGTTACTGATAACTCAGACTAAAAGCGGTTCTTTCATACATCTAGCTTATTTTAGCTATTTTGCCACTTAACGTTAAGAGCTAATACTTGAGTATAACCTTTAATTCCAAAGCTGCAGTCATCAATGGTAAGGCGATCGTCGGGTCCATTTGCAATAGTCACCTTAGAAGAGATTTTTTAAAAAAGATAATCAAGATAATTTCTCCACTTCAGCGAGGAGTAAAGACAAACAAGAAGGAATTTTCGGTTCAACAAGTTTATTGTAGAGATCTTTTGTTAAGTACAATGGGTAAGAAAGTTACTTTCGTGACATTAACGATAAACAGGCCTACAATAAACACGAGACGAAGAACACTACCTTTCACTAAATATAAATACTGCACTATCTTTAGTTGAGTTTTTTCAATCAGAGACAAAAGAAGAAGACGAATGAAAAATATAGGGGTGGCGGGGGGAGGGAAAGAAGAGAAAGGAAAGAACAAAAAAAAGGAGAAAAAGAAAGAGGTTACCTCCAATGTTAGTTCTTCCAGGGACCAATTGTTCGCCTGTGCAACGAACTGACGGGTTGCTGTGATGTATGCCTCAGGGACAAACATTCCGCCCAGCCAAATATGCAAGTTCTAAGAGCAAAATCAAAACAACTTTAGACAAGCGATAGGATGTAAAGCAAAAAAGGGTACTTTTCTCCGAGCGACAGCCAGAGAATCCAGGGATTTTTTTGCGCTGCTTCAGTAACATGTCATGCTTCTTCAATAGCATTCACAGTCTATTTAGGAAGTTAACTCTTTAACTATTTAACTTCCAAGAGTGACAAACAGTTTTTCCTGACAATATCAATACATAATCCTGAGAAAAGGTTAGGAGAATTTACAAAATGATCACAAAATGGAAAATGCCTTGATCTTTTATTAACTTCTCTTAAATAACTTCTTAAGGAATGGTATGGGGACCAGTTGGGAGAATTTGTGTGTGGATATTGGGGCCTAAAGGGCGGAGCCTTAGTGTCAGCATGATGTACATTCTCCACACTGCTATCCGCACATTTCCTAAGGTAGTGATGAGAATTTGTTCAACAATAGAGGTCTTTTCTCTTCTTTATGATTTCTTTTTTTCAGTCATAGGGTTTAAGATGCAAAGAACAACTGCATTCCTTTACACACATGCAACAATTAAAAAAAGCCTGCGTCGCAGGCTAGCAACTCACGACCAGCAACGTCTGCGAACCGGTCGAACAATCGTTTTCTTAACAGGCCAATTATGGTGCGTACTCAAATTCTAGTACAAAACTGGCGGCCCAGAAAAAGAATTTCGGCGCTGGCTCGCAGATGAACTTAACCCAGGGGTTTGGTTTCGTCTGTGGTGAAGGCTAAAATTATTATCATTTTTTTGGTTTTTGGCTGAATGTCGGAAAAGCTAACCTTAAGGCCCTTGGCTCCACCCGTGTTGGCAGCATGGGAGATCTTCTGAAGCTGCTTAATTCGGTCACTGAAGTCTGCTACCCACTGAAGGACTGTCAGGCCTTTTGGAACGGTATAGCGTCTCCAGTTAGATGGCAAAATACCTGAAATTACACAAAGGAACGACAGTTGATCTAACGCGGTTTTTCTTACATTTGTAAATATCGAAAGTAATTTTGTTTTTTTTTTGTTTTGCACTTTCACGTTTGAGGATTGGCTTAAAAATCGCTAGCCTGTATCAGGCTCCAAGACAGTAATATGCAGAGATCGCGATCGCGAAAACTCATGCGAAAAAAGCGAAGGAGCCACCGACCCCTCCCTGACATCACGCACATCCTATCTCGCTTGACTTGTTCTCGCGACGTCCCTTCCGTCTGATGAAAGCCCGGCACTGGCTAAAAAATCTCCCGTAGGACCGTCGGGAACCGGTGATTAACTGGGTAATTAAGTTGGTACTGTAGATGATAATTATTTTCTTAGTAAGTGTAAAAAAAGCGACTCTTACCCTTAACCAAGTCGCTCATAAGATTCCTCAGGTAATTGGTAGGCTTCTTTTGGCTTTCACAAACGAGCACCACATGATTAAGGTCCTCTCGGATGGTATTCAAAAGCTGGTAGCCAGTATTGACCTAGAAAAGTAATAAATTTAACTTATTTCTTCAAATATCAAATCTTGTCAAGCAAAAAGGTTTCGAGGATATGATCCAAGAATATAAATTACCGTAAAAGTTCCGAAGTTTCTACCCAAACAAGACGACGACGCATTAATGGCGCAATTTTTTTAAAACTGCAAGGGATACTTGGTACTTACCTCACGTTCAAAGTAGCGGAAAAGTGGATCTTTGATGTTGTCCAATGTTCGTTTTAACGGCGTCAAATCCTACAAAAAAAATGTTACACGAGTAAGATTGGTTTTAAACCGAGAAATGGCAGAGTGAAAGGGCAAAGCAGTCAATCTTACTTGCCGATGACAAATAGATGTAACAATCCAATTCACTATTCCGTGAAGGCATAGGTGCAAGCTTTCAGCGCAAAGATTTCTGGGATCATTTGGTTGGGAAAGCATTACTTATGATTGGTTATGGTTTAATACCATCGACCAATCATAACTAACGTTTGACCACTCACACGACCCCAGAGAGCACTGCACCTAAAGCCTGTACCCCTTCTCCCATTCGCTTCTGAAATAGGCAATCATGGGGTAATCGAACTTCAGAAATACGTGTATATAGGTAACTGCTATCAAGAGAAAGAAAACCCGATAGGCCTAGTCACAATTGGAGTTAGTTTCAATTTGATTGGCTAAGGTTGCGGTATTACATGTACTTTTGACAACTAATAACAAAGTGCAATCGTGCAAAAGCAAAGAAAATCTAAGCCTTTTCCATGCGTTCAACTTAGGGTCAAAAATCAGTGCAAGGGAAGGCACACAACACTTCCCATTTTTTTTTTATCTCCCTGCAAAATCTTACTGTGTGAATCAGGCTTCAGAATCGTGTACTTTACGAGTATTTTTTTGTACCTTTGGTATCATACTAAGCCAGTTTGCAGCTGTTGAGTGCAAGGTTCTCATCCAGGCGGGACGGGGGTCACTCTCTCGCCTCTGTTTCCTACAACACAAAGGGAAGTTGGAACAAATGTTAATTCCCCACTTTAGAAATAAGGGGAATGGGTACAAGCTTTCGGCGCAATGATTTCTGGGATCCTGATTTGGCTGGACAAGCGTTACTTGTAACTGGTTAACGGTTGCCTTAGATACCACTGACCAATGATAACTAACGTTTATCCACGCAAAAGATCCCACAAAGCACTGTACCCAAAGCTTGTACCCATTCTTCCTAAAGTTTGAGGAGTGGGGAATGCTGATTATTATGCTGAACACAATGGTTCTAACTTCTTCGTTTCTTGCTGATAAAATATAGGTATGACAATTAAAAATGAAAGCTACTGAGCAGCACTCTCTTGCGGTTCTATGTTTACATGGAGTGGGGGACCCCGGTCTAGTGGGGTTGGTTTCTTTTGTTTTCACGCTCTGAGGGACACAAAACAAAAGAAACCTACCCCACTAGACCGGGGTCCCCCACTCCATGTAAACAGGGTCTTGGTCTTGACGTCGACCACAGTCGTTAAATGTGTCAGTTGAAGCAAAAGCCATAGTTTTAAGTCGCATTTATCGTGGTCTGTTTGGATAAAAACTATTTTAATAACCAACATGTTTTGGTATAATCACTTACATAACCATTAGCCCTTTACAACACCCATTCTAAGAATATTCACCTTTTTAACCTTACTTTTAAAACAGTCACCTCTTGACCATAACTTTGAATTTAAAGTCAATAAATTTTTTACCCACAATGAAAAAAACAAAAAAAAGTTCTAAACAGGAAGAACAAAAATAATGGGTCGGCAGAATGAATAAACGAATGCTGTGCATATGCATGTTGAAACTGAAGTGATGGTTAAGTGTACAAGCAACGTATGCAAGCAAGCACTTTACTTATATCCTTAGCTGACATTCTCTTGCTTTCACGAAATTTGACACCCTTTCCTCGTGCTATTGTAAGGAAATTAAAAAACTTAGTAACTATCGTCCTCCTCCCCTTAAAAATTCAACTTTTAGGACACTAAAAGGTCGCCGCCATCCTTTTATACAAAATTAGCGATAGCGGCAATCAAAGTATGACGTCACAAAAATCAAATTGGCAGAATGCCATGGAAAGGCGGAGGGTGAGGGGGAAGGGGGCGTCGAGGGATAGACCACTCTCCATTTGTAAGAAAAGCGATTTGTATTTCGTTTAATGTCTAACAATTAAACTTTAATTTGCTATAACAACGGATGATACTTTTCCGCTCTGTTTACTAAAAGAACAACCAGAGTGATTGGTTAACTAACCAATAGTTTTTAGCCAATTGTAGTGCCCGTTAGATTATGCTTATTTTATAAAAGCCTTTACTTTACTTACTCTGCACCATATATCCCGTGTATGAGAGGTACTTCAAGAGGCTGGCCTAAGCTTTAAATAAAACGTTTAACATGCATGAAGGTTTTACATTTTAAGATTTCAAAACTCGGAGGATTTCGAGATTGAGAGCACAGAGTTAGACGGAAATATCTTTCTCGGTTAAAGACGCCAGGACTCCTCGTGAGATTTTAGTAAGCCTGGAAAGGCCAGAAGACAAGATGGTTTATTGCTTTCGGGTTTGTTGGCAGAACAAATGCTCCTTGAGATTGCAGAAAAAAATTCCACGAAACGAAGTTGTAAAGCGCGAACAGTACTTTTCTGTAGTGTTGGTTATGATGCTGTGTAAGCCAGCCTAAAGCACACACCACTCAAATGAAAGCTACTGAGCAGTAAGTTGCTGAGTACTGTTTATTATGCTGAACAAGGTGTTTCTAACACTTGAGTCTATGGGTGAAATCTTTAAGTGCGACAATTCAACGGAAAGCTACTGAGCAGTATTCTACTGTGGTACTGTTTATTTTGCTGTACAGGGTGATTCTAACACTTGCGCCTGTGGGCAAAATCCTAAAGTGTGACTATTCAGCTGAAAGCTGATGACCAATAGTTTCCTTNTATAAAAGCCTTTACTTTACTTACTCTGCACCATATATCCCGTGTATGAGAGGTACTTCAAGAGGCTGGCCTAAGCTTTAAATAAAACGTTTAACATGCATGAAGGTTTTACATTTTAAGATTTCAAAACTCGGAGGATTTCGAGATTGAGAGCACAGAGTTAGACGGAAATATCTTTCTCGGTTAAAGACGCCAGGACTCCTCGTGAGATTTTAGTAAGACTGGAAAGGCCAGAAGACAAGATGGTTTATTGCTTTCGGGTTTGTTGGCAGAACAAATGCTCCTCAAGATTGCAGAAAAAGATTCCACGAAACGAAGTTGTAAAGCGCGAACAGTACTTTTCTGTAGTGTTGGTTATGATGCTGTGTAAGCCAGCCTAAAGCACACACCACTCAAATGAAAGCTACTGAGCAGTAAGTTGCTGAGTACTGTTTATTATGCTGAACAAGGTGTTTCTAACACTTGAGTCTATGGGTGAAATCTTTAAGTGCGACAATTCAACGGAAAGCTACTGAGCAGTATTCTACTGTGGTACTGTTTATTTTGCTGTACAGGGTGATTCTAACACTTGCGCCTGTGGGCAAAATCCTAAAGTGTGACTATTCAGCTGAAAGCTGATGACCAATAGTTTCCTTGTGGTAATGTCTATTATGCTGTGCAAGGTGGCTCTCCTTTTGTGCCTGTAACTGAAGGCCTAAGTGTGACTGAAAATGTTGTTTACCCACGCTGGTGAAGACGTAAAGAAAATCTCCTGATTTAGAGAGCGGTTTTAATCATCAACTTCATCACTGCACGTTCAGAGTTAAAAACAATGCTCTTTCAGGATACTAAAAGCTGGAAGCAGGTAAGCATAGAGATAAGTGAAGGAACGGATGTGTAAAACTAAAGCGTGAATTGTAGGAAGTGAACGCAGTTTAAAGTGAACAGATTTAAACGAAAATTAACCAAAGTGAAGACAAAAAAAATATAACATTTAAGTTAACAAACAAAACAAATAGTAATACTGTTTATATTTTGACAGAGCAAAGGTTATTAAAATCAATGTTATGGTACGTCAATTAAGAGAATTCGTAAAGAACAGCAATCATTTAAAACCAAAATGTGAAAGGTTCATATACTTCAAGAGATTAGGGACATCAGATTATAAAACTAGTCGATTTTCCAATTGAATGCTTAGTTCTTTTTAATAGTGTGAACGCTCTATCTAGGTTACTTGAGCTACGAAGTTGAGGTAAAGTTTTAAAATTATATCCTGCTTATAGATTACAGCTAAATCATCTGTGAAAATAAAACAAATGAATTATGGCTTATTTGTTTAGAAAACGCGATTCTCGTATGGCCTTCCAATATTCTTTTCCTCATTCTTCAGACGTTGAAACCAGAAACACTTCGATATGGAAAACGCTAGGTTCAACTGACCGATCAAAATGATGAAAAACTCAGTAACGTTTTTAAGCTCTGACTACTAGGATTGCGTTGTCGCTAAGCCAGCCAATGACTGGGCGCGTAAAGACCTTGCGTGTGCTGAGCCAATCAGATTGCATCTTTTTGGATCACATGTTGTCTGTGTTGAATTGACGAGTAATTATCAAAGGCCACCCGACTATCGTTCTTTTTACAAATGTTAGGCTTGGACGTCACGGTAAGTCGTTACTTTTGAAAAGAAATGTAAGAATCAATTTTACCAAGTTATGAAAGTTTTTTTAAGCCTGTCTATATTTCCTTCCTAAATAGTAACACTGAAATCAAGAGCGGTTACCAATCTTAGATTGGGTTGTCACGGTCAATACTTACCTAGCGGAGTCTGGGGAATAGGCAAGCTCGTCATCATCACTCAACATCTGCATCTTCAGTAGCTTAGTAACCATGTCTTGGCCTACAGATGGGAAATAGGGTGTTGTAAGTGTTGCGTAAAATATGTTTCAAGAATAAATAAAAACGATATCACGGTCTTTCAGAGGTTTCACAGATATTGAAAATAAGAATACAGCTGGCTTAAAGTGAACGATGTTCATTCAGTTTACAGTCCGGTTTCGCTCAAAGGGGCTAGGGTTGCATCGATACATTCTCCCAGGATATGATACCCATCCCAGTGTTCCCAGTGCTTGTGAGCGCACAAAAATATATAAGTGATGAGTGGCAAAAATTATAGAGCATGCATTAAGGTACGGTAAAACGGGCAACAACAAAACACGCGAAACGAGTTGAATAGCGATGTTGCGCCTTTTACCACCCACATCAAACCTGTCTTGGCCAGACAAGGCTGAGGGATGCTTCCACTTCCCTCGGGAAGTCGAACAACTCATTTGTGTTGCCTTGAATATCGTGACGAAGGTCGGTAACTTAAAATACCTTGAGTAGTGAGAAGAACTTTTTCTGCGTTGTTGGGCAGGCCGAGCCACGAGGGAGACTGAGCATCCGGAAGAGCTTCAGTCCACTGCAGGAACTGTTCACGTCTAAATGAGTTGATAAAAAACGAGGTCAGGAAATTATTCTGCTTAAAGATCCTAACAGCTGTAAAAAGTTAAATGACTGAATTTTCAAATCCATCCCTTATAGGCTGCTTGCTTTTTTGCCTACGGAGCTGGGCCTGATAACAACCCCTGTAAACTTAACCAGATAATCTAGTGAGGAAATTACCAGCAAAATCTCAAAAAGGTCGTACAGAAGCTTTTTTCCCATTAAAAGAATTAAATACAAGTTTCAGGTCGAGTAAAGGCCCGATTATGCTTTGGATTAAGAAAGAGGAAGTTAAATCGTTGGATAGCGCGCCACGCACACGCTGAAATGTGGACAAAAAAGATTAGCGCATGAGCCAAGATACTAAACTGCTGACCAAATATCGAGTGGATACGCGACTTGCTGTTTAAATTTCGACCAGCACTTTGGCAATTCTTTATCATTTAAGTATTTGGCTTAGAAAGGGATAAACCGAACGAGCTTAAAAACGTACCTGATTCCTTCTGGCATGACAATTTTCTTGCCTTTTTCTCCATCCACATCAAGAACCAATGGGAAATCAGACTCAAAGCTGCTGACGGTGAATAAGCGGTTCACAAAGGAAGTCAACAGGCGCTAAAAGAGGACGAAAATAATGCTTCAATAACGCGTTGACAAAAGCATGTGTTTTCCCCTAAAGAGAGAGCTTAATTCAAACCTGATCAAAGTCGTTGTCGATGCGCCCGCCATAAATGGCCTGAGACAGAAGAGCTTGAAGGGCGTCCCATGGAACTTTGTTGGGCGGCAGATTGGTACGGCCCTAGGAGCAAAACAAAACACTTTTGAGTGAGTTAGGTCACTTTAAGCTAACAAAAGCAAAACGGAGACGAATTTAAGCACGATTTTCGCGTACAGATTTGAAATTCACCATCACTTAATCTTCGATTTCAGAAAAAGGAGTGTCCAAAACAACTTCTAACAGATAAAATTGTTGTTGACCACTAAAAAACTAGACTAGACACTCTTCTACAACAAAAATTTGTAACAACAATGTACTTCTACATTTCAGGCATTGAAAACTTTATCACCGTGACCATATACTCTTACGATTGCGTTACTGAAAAACAAACACCTTAAGTCACACACCTGGGCAACTGCATCTAACCAGGTATCTAGTGTGTCACACGCCACTCGCAGATCAGACTCGCTGAACTCGTAACGCTTGGACCAACCAAGAGGAGCGTAACGCAAGCGTTCTTGAACGATGGCATGGAACCACGCGAGCAGGAAATATAGACGGGCACGTTCACTGGGGGCCTAAGAAAATTAAAATGGCAAAACGTGATTACCAGTTAATTAACAAAATATTGGATAACATCCTCAACTTCAACATGAAATTCACCTCAGGAAGACACAAGTTTTAATGATACTTTCACACAAAAAGTTCTGTTTTTTCTCTTTGAGCTCTTCAAATCCCGTGAATTTCCGTGACTTTTTCCATGACCTTAGGTTTAGCTGTCAGTATCGAAATTTTTCAAACCTTCCTTGTTTTAGGGTATTTTTTTACTTAACTAAGTTAAAATGCGTGCTGTTCGCCATGTTTAATTACTCGTCTCTACAACTGTATCTAACTTTGTCCTTGCTTTGACATTAGCAGCGACTACATTTAACATACTAAAAATGACTTTAAAGTACCACAACTTACCAGGACTGACAATTAAATTCCATGGCTTTCCAGGCCTGGAAAATTAAATTTTCAAATTTCCAGGTTTTCCACGACCCGTGGGAACCCTGGTGCAGTTCCAACTCAAAAGAGGTACTTCCCCTCTGCAAGATTTTCACAGACGAAACTTACCTTACACATCCTTGTAGCTGGCACAGCGCTGAACGTTCTTAACAAGTTGGCTTTGACTCCAGGCGGAGGCTCAAATACAAATACCCGAGACGCTCTCAGCAAGTTCACAGGAACCTGTTGTAACAAAAACAGTATTTTCAATTGAGTGATTTTTAAAAATGTTCCATTTTGCTTTATCCATGTCTGGTTTATCTCATGTCTACCCAAGAGAACTTTTGTTCGCCCGTTAACACAATAATCGATACACTTGTCCGCAAGTTAAGTCGCAAAACATGAGTGAAGCGGCTTGAAGTTTGTTCATTTTACATGGGACTGATATATGGGGCTTTGATTCATTATGACCGGTGTGGGGGTCTGTATTCTTTGGTAAGCCCTGTAGATAACCTGTGTACAGCTTGTCTGACACAGGCTACTCTGTAGGGGGTGTGAATTGTTTTGTTGACTACAGAGGGGTGGGGGTTAGGACTATTTTGAAGACATGTCAACGGACTTTGACCTCTACCCACCCCGTTCCCAACCCAGTCAAATTAAATGAAAGCTCCCCAAGTCTACAAGATCAAGAGTATACCTTTGGATTGATTTCCATGGTCATAAACAACCTGAAGGCAGCGTGTGGGTTCAAGGTGTGCAATTTCTTTTCCAGTGTTACCAGCCACTGAGGCGCCAGGTGGACATTCTTCAGCAAAACCCATCTAAAGTAAAGAGGAACCAAATATTAAGCCCCAATATCCACATACAAATTCTCCAAACTGATCTCTATATATTTCCTTTAAGTATGAGTTGAGAGAACTTGATAAAAGATCAAAGCATTTCTCATTTGGCGGTCATTTTATAAATTCCCATAACCTTTCCTCTTGATTGTCTATTGATATTGTAAGGAGAAAATTGATGTTAGTCACTATTGGAACTTAAAGGGTTAAGTCTACTCAGGGTCGGAGAAAGAACAGGAGTAAAATGTGAATAGGCAAAGCGATACTTTTCTGTGATACTGTTTATCATGCTGTGAAATGTTGGAGGTTCTAACTTTTGAGTTTGTGACTGAATTCCAAAAGCGTGACCATTCAAATGAAAGCTACTGAGCAGTGCTTTCCTGTGGTACTGTATATTATGCTGTACAAAGTGGTTCAAACTTTTGAGTTTGTGCACGAAATCTTTTCAGAGTGACAACTCAAATGAAAGCTACAGAGCAGTGCTTTTACTGCTGTGCTGCTCTTCTACAAACCGAATACGATTCTTACACTAACACTTACCTGCCAGATTTAGTGGCCGAGTTGATGGCTTTATCAGCAAGACTGAATCCTTCGGCAGAACCTGTCAAAACCAAACCGAGGAAACGTTTAACGCAGTGAAGTGGATAAGCACAAGGTAGGCAAGTGACCAAAGGTCACCGAAATACACAGGAGAGTTAACAGCCAAAGCACAGGGTAGGCAAGTGGCCACAGGTCACCAAGATACACAGGACAGTGAACAGCGAAAATATACATTCCCGAGCACTACAAAGGCTCAAATGTTACAGGCCAAGATCTTAGGGAAGTTCCATCTCTTACCAATAGCAATGGAAGTGCATTGCTTGTTTTGTTCTGCTGCCAGATCATCTACCCAACCACTGGCATCATAACCTGTCACAGAGCACATCAGTAGAGGAGTATTCGCCTTCACCTGTTGAATTCAAACAGAACGTGGTTACCCATGTACTGCATTTTCCATTAACCCCTCACTCCTAGACAATGTGATGGTAAAACTGTGACTCTAACTTTTAAATCCTTGGAGTAAACCCAATAGTGTTACCATTCAAATGAAACCTATTTGACAGAACTGTTCTATGATAGTATTTGTTTTTTACGATTTGTGTGAATTTCTTTTCTTTCGCTACCAGTAAAGGGTTAAATGACCTGCCTAAAGATAATTCGCCTGTACTGCTGTAAGCCACACAAAAAGGCATTTCAACCAACAGAAATCAAATAACTTTGCTACTTCGCCAGGGAGAATTTGTTGTTGTCACATGCGGCTTGGCAACACATGCCCTTGAAGTTTTCTAAAACGCGCACATTTTGTTTATATACATTGTAGGGTGGCTCTACGTGGCAAAGGATGCTTTAGTGCATATCCACTTAGTTAACTCCACTAAGGGACAGCAAATTTCTCCATAATCTTCACAAAAAAAATTAAGAACGATAAGATCGATATGAAAACGACCTACTAATAAGAAATGATTTCTTGCACACAGTTGGTTTGGCATATTTTAGCATTTTCCAAGGGAACCAACTTTGAAATTACTTTGAATTTAAAATCGAAAACGCCCCACGTACGCGAGCCAGTGCAGCAGGCCCTTTGAGGTCATTAATCAAATACAGACCAAGCACGCAATAATACGGACTGTTTAAGGCCTACAGTGAATTTAATAACGAACAAACAAACAAAAAAACATATACAAATAAAAAGCAAACAAGCAAACCTCATGCTCCACTACGGAAGCTAAGTCCAGTCCTTGCTCGGCATCATGCATGAAGCTTTCACCAAGAATCCTTCCCACGACCCTATGTCCCATCGCCATTATACGGTCAGGTCGCAAGGCCTGGATCACAAGCAGCTCATGGATAATTTGGCCAATGTTTGCTTCAAAGAAAAAAGTATATGAATCCTCTCAGCCAATGAAGTCGCTTACGGAGATATGTAATCCAATTCTGACTTAATAATAATCTTTTTTTTGCGGAAACTGTTGTCGATACGGGTCTCC